CTCCGGGCCGGGTACTCCGACTCTTCGTTTTAACCGCCATGAAAGATCCTTCGAACCGTTCTTTGTCTCACCCTTCACCTAAGACCAATTTGTCATGGGAGACCCTACCAGGGGCACTAAGTGCCCCAGACAACATAGCTCCTAGGATCATTAGGGCACTCAAACTCCTCCACCACGATAAGGTGACGGTTCAAGGAGGAGCGAATAAATTGAGATAAGAAAATTGCATTAAGATTTATATGACATATGCAAAAATACCAAATCAGTTTGATTCAGAATTAAAATCTCCATTTTAACCAGTTGACAAAAGGCACTCCCTGGCAAAAGGTTGCTTTAAAAACAAAGGAAAGTTTCATTAGAATGTCATTTTTTGCAAATACTGCGAATGAAGTCAGAAGATCAACAAAGGCATGGTGTTGCTCAGAATCTGGACTTAATCACAAACCTTGGAATATTTTCCAAAAATGAAATGCAAATTTTTAAATGGGGAAAAACAGCTAAATCTTCAAGGTTACTGACGACGCTAAAAAGCTTTAATGGAATTTCAAAAAATGCACATGCACACATAAATTATAACTCAATCATCAACACACCTTAAAAAACACACACACACTTTATTAGCGCTTTAGTTTTCTGTTCACATTCCGTTTTACACAGTAGTGAAAACAAGAAAGATGTGTGACAGCAACCAGATAAAAAATAAAACCGGTACAAACATTTTGAGTGATACAACCGTGAAGATGCTTCTTAGATGTGAGAGTGTGAAGAGACGCAGTGGGAGACTTATGCAAAGAAAGAAAAAAATAAAACTGGATATCTGAAAAGCTCCGGGCGGATGTGAGCGTGGAGATTTCATGCCGTATTTTGTTCTATATCTTGAATCAAGTGGGGTTATGTAGGTGAAAGCCAATGAGAAGGCTGATGGAAAAGAATAACAGTAAGGAGAATAAGATTCTTAGAAAAATCACAGATAAAACCTGAGTTCTTTAGAAATCTGTTGCATCAGCTTATTCATAGGCAAGAGAATAAACTCAGGCACACTCAGCCTCGAGATCTTCAAGGTTTGACCTTATGGCTGTATGGCTTTGCTGAATCTCAGAATACAATGATGAAATCAGGAGACCGTTTGAAGCTCAATGTGTCAGAAAGTCAGCGTTTGAGTGAAGGATGAGGGGGTGTTTTAGCAAAACACTTGACCCAAAGTGTGAGTAACAAGAAAAAAGCGCTGACCAACAAAGGCGTTTGAATTAAATAGCATTGAAGACCAATGACGGGGTCGAAATGACCAGACTGAACGTGAGGATTGGTTCATGTGGAGGGAAAAAAAGAGGCACTTCAGAGCTACTCTCCAGCAGGAGGGCAGCTTTGCTCTGCAAAAAAAATAAATAAATAAATAAATAAAAAAATTCCTCAGACAGATATATACAACAGACTTCAGACAACACAATATAAGTGTCCACTAGGTAGGGTGATAGGTTGGGACTATCCAAGCTTCAGCTTCTGCAGCCACGATGAAGCAGCGCATGTCACCTCAGTGTGGATAGGAGGGGGAGCATTGAGGGTTGGAGGGTTGCAGTGACCCTAGACCAGGGGTCGGCAACCTGTTCCCATCAAAGAGCCATTATTACCCATTTCCCACAGTAACGAAAACACTGGGAGCCACGGCAGCCGCGGCGTTGTGGGCGGGGCCTACCCTCAGACAGCAGAGAGCTGCTTTAACCAATCACACCAGGTGACAGCAGCCAGTACCGGTCGCTCGTGTACGTCAAAGTTATCTTTCATAAGAAGATAATCAATAAAACGATTTATATAAAATGGATCCAGAGGTTGTAGCCCGTCTCTGCCTACAATATTTTGATATTTTTCACCCTGTTGGTGGTTTTACTGAGCAGGTGCCACTTTTGTCATACGTTTCTTTTTAAAACATGTTTAGACTGTTCAGAATACAAATCCAGGCTCTGTCATGTTTGATTGTTGTAATTAAACTTTGTAGGTGGGGAACGTCAGAAAAGGATCCGATCAATTTGTTTTTCCCTCATTTACAGTGACGGAGATAACGGCGCAGTGCACCTGGCTCTGGTGTTAATTATATTAACTTATATTAATTAAGTTAAATTATATCTCTTTGCAACAATTTTCACAAGAAAACAAAACAGTTAAAAACAGGGCTTGTGTTGACCGGATAGTTCCTGTATTTGGCCGTTTATTTTGACAGAGAAAGAATAGAAAGAATTACCCCGACGCATGCAGACGAACTGACATTTTATTCGTTTCGCACATTGCAGATGTAGCTAAATCACTCAACAAAAGATTCCCATCTGAACATCTGAGCTGGACACTGCTCAGCGCAGCTCACTGTCAGCGTGTACTTCATAAGGTCCACAGCGAGCTGAAGATGTGGAGAGGGGCTTGGAGCGCGTCGCAGAACCAGAGCGCATGCAGGAAGATTCCTCCGACTGAAGCGAGACTTGTCACTTAGAAAATGTTCCCTGATTATGACACTTTGGCTGAATAGTGCTTGTTCCTGTCTCCAATGTGGCGACACATCCAGGAGCCGTCTGAGGAGAATCCCAGAATCTCACATCCTCTTCAGCTCAGAAAGCGCCTATGATTACGCACAAGCGTGACCCGTCAACCCGGACTCACAGAAAGACCGGTTTGGAACTGTTCAGGTTTACGCAGACAATCTTTACATTTAGAATTGGCATACACATGTAAAATTAATGCAGTAAAATATAAAGCATTTTATTTAAATATCCATTCATTATTTTACAAGCACAGAGAGCCGCATCAGATGGATGGAAGAGCCGCATGCGGCTCCAGAGCCGCGGGTTGCCGACCTCCGCCCTAGACGCTTCAGCGGCCTTCCCGCTGTCCCGCCCAGACTGGGAAAGGAGGCAGTGTTGAGTTGCCATAGCGACAGCACATTCCACATATCTTCTGAGGGGGGAGTTTTTGTTGGAGCCTTGCAGGCTCAAGGACACCAGATTCCGATTAGAAATTGTTTTGGGGCCAGACAGAGATAATTTCCTCTCTGTCTTACAGTCTGCTTGTCCTCACCTCTCTGAATCCCAATAGTAATGGACGTTTATCTATCCCAATCTGTGCTGATTCGTCCACTCTTTCCTTGATGGCATCCATCTTTTCTGCCAAAGAATGAATCTCCGCCAAAGTCCCAAGCTTACGATTCATCTCAACAAATATTTGAGTCTGTGAATTCACAGCGCGGTGCAAACCATCTCTGAGCTCCGGGATCAGGCCAATATTCCTCGACAGCTCGTTCATTTTCCGGTAAGCCAGGTAGCCTCCAAGGCCAATGAGCAGGAAACCTGACACCAACACGACGAATATCCACACGTCTTCAGAGTCCTCCACAGACAGCTGAGATAGACAGATCAAGTTCCACTGTTTCTAGGAGTCCATGATGTGTCCTACTGGGTCTGTATCGGCAGGGCATTCGGGAGCCCCTTCTCCCGTTCTCATTGTTGAAAAAATTTCATCAATCTCGTTGAGAGACCAGCTGAGATCCATTTAAATGTATTTCAGTTTCCAGTTTACAGAAAAATGCAGAAGCAGCCGTGCACCCAGCACACAGAGACAGACAAAGGCCTTGAGGATAAGATATGGAGGAGAGGACGAAAAGAAGCATCTGCACCCTTCAAGAGCCAGAAGAAATTAGAAATACCCCAACAACCACATGATAACTGATATATTAAAAAAAAAAAAATATTTTATATGAATATTTGAACATGCAGAAGAAAAGTAAGAAAGTCAACACCTGGAAGAAAAAAAAAACGGAGGTGTGTTTCGTTCATTTTCCCGGGCTTTCTACCGGACTCGTAAGTGGCCCGAGGCGTTATTGATGCATTTTCCCTGAGAGCTTAGCGATGTGTCCCAAATCCCCCAAGACAACCTTTAAGATGCAAATCAGTTGCAAAAGCGTTCCACGCAGCCGGTTCTACGAGGTCACAAAATCACCAGAATTACAAGGCCGGGACTGATTTCAGCAGTTCATGCAATGACAAGCAAGGAGGAGGATGGCTGCATGTACCTAAACTGTCTTAGGTTTATTTTCTGTTCTGTTTACAATAGCCACAGAGCTTTCGCAGAAAATTATGTATTTATTTTTTACAAGTTAAGCAGTTTGAAATCTGCATGTGTCTTTTACTTTGAAAGTTTACACATTTTTCTATGCTACGTCTGTGTTTGACTTCCTGTCTAGCCTGCATTAAAAATATCCCCAAAGTGTAAATTTAGCAGCGAAACACTGCTTCTGGGACGAGTCCAAAACACCCCCCCCCCCCTCCGTCGACCATAATGACGGATATTAGCGGTGTAATACGCTTCGCCGACTTTACGTGACACGGTCCGATGGAAAGCCAGGGACTTAAAATTGGTACTGGAACCAGCCACTAGGAGGCAGCAATGTTCAGTATAATTTAAACATCTGGGTTCACGATGAACATCTTTCAAATAAACATTCAGATTTCATTTATTTCAGGAGTCGTTTCCAGCATGTTTTGGGATCACAGACCAGCTTAATGCAGAACATTTCTGTATTGGGATGTTTACTGTGTGAAGCGCCTTGAGACGACTCTTGTCGTGATCTGGCGCTATATAAATGAACTTGACTTGAATTGAATTGAATTCCACTTGTCCCAGTGCCGGATGGGAGCATGAGAAATGTTATGAAGAACTAATGTAATAAGTATTTTCTTTTTTTGATGACTTTCAAAATGTAATATAAATACTTGTTGTAATTAAAATAAAAATAAAAATAAAACCACCAGCAGATCTAAATGTGTTTATGGATGGTTTTTGTGTGACCTGGTACCAAATGGTCCACCGGTACCAGCCTGGTGGTTGGGGTTGTTGCTTTTAATTTTTATCATTTTTCAGAATTAAATTGTTCATTTTTAAACTGCTAATCTCTATTTATATTGAGTTAGTTATAATCAGAAACAAAAACATGATGCTCCTTTTTCCGTCTGTGTGTTTAGATGTTGCTGTTCCCAGGTCAGCCACCGTCTCAGTCTGGCCGTTACTCGGTTTCGATGGGTGGAGAGCTAACCATCACCGATGTCCACCCTGAGGACTCGGGCTTTTACGTCTGCCAGGCCATCAGCGTGGCAGGAAGTGTGCTGACGAAGGCGCTGCTGGAGGTGGAAGGAGGTAAGACTTTGATCTGCAGTCACGTTTCAGCCTGGCGGAAGTTTATTCTCCACCATCAGCTAATAAGGAAAACACATTAATTACTTAGAAGGTGCAAAACAACAGAGCGGGGCTGCAATGAGCTTGCTCCTCGAGCAGCTTGTAAACAACAGATTTATTTTTCTTCTGGTCTTTTTAATGTGGCCTGTTGTTTCTCCAGCTGCTTAGCATCTGAAGTATCTCTTTTTTCACTCTAACAGCTGGCAAGTTAACCATTCGGAGCCTCATGTGCACACCATTCAGATGCGCTTCCCTCCCATCTGACATCACATTCTGTCTTGTCTTCACTGAAATATTCAGGTCCTTCAGGTCGGATCCCGCCGATCATTCGGCAAGGCCCGGCCAATCAGACGGTGTCTCGGGGTGCAGCGACACAGCTGCACTGCCGTTTAGTCGGAGGTGCCTCTGTCAAGATCTCATGGGAGAAGGATGGAGAGAGGCTGGAGGAAAAAAAGCCTCGACTGACTCTGATGGAGAATGGCACATTGCAAATTACAGATCTGAAGGTGTGTGTGTGTGTGTGTGTGTGTGTGTGTGTGTGTGTGTGTGTGTGTGTGTGTGTGTGTGTGTGTGTGTGTGTGTATCATTTATTGGAGAGGGCTTGAAAAAGATGAATTTTGAAACTCAGCAGCTCTTAGACGTAAAGGAAAACTGACTGAGCGCCTGATGGAAACTACAAGAACTGTGCAGAATAATGGGATGTCTCATCCCTGACCTCCCGTCACCTTCTCCGCAGACCCACGTGGCGACAGAGTTTTATCTCGTTCCGATCAGAAAGCCCTTTTTGGTCGACAAAATTAAGGTGGGACAGAGATTCAAAGAGTGCTCACTCCAAGGCTGTGCATTATCTCTGCAGTGCAATTATGTGCTCATGCGGTGTGTAATTGTAATGTTAATGAAGGTGCTTGTTTATAAATGCTAATGTGCTCAGCTTTGATGGACGAGGAGCCAGAAGCCCCATTTGTCTTGTAACCCCAACGTGGAGGTCAGGAAGTGAATTCAGGACAGTGCAAAAAGTAGCATCAATTTCATTAACTGACCTGTGATAGCTGATTAATTATCCAACTGGCATTTAATTAAAACTCCTGTCTGGACTAAGCTCATTATTTTCCTTCACCAGCTTCTTTCTCAGCAGTGGCGTGCAGCAAACTTGCAGCATTAAGGTTTGGTCCGGTGCATCAGCAAGGCAAGGGAAATCTGCCATTCCAATGTGCTCAATGGAACAGAAGGAATGCATTAGTGTGGCATCAAGGGGTGACATAGGAGGGGAAATGGAGATGACTAGTGAGGACCTAAAAATATTCACCCCGCTGATGCCCCTACAAGCCATTAATATTTTAGCAGTAGTTGGAGCCTTCTGAAAAAGTTCACCTGCCGCACGCTGCGCTGCCTGTCAGCCAGAGGTCAGAGCTGCGGAGGATGATCTCATATGGTCTGATGGTGGTTCCAGCAGACTGGCTCCCAGCCAGGACGGGATCGGAGCGAACAGCACCAGTAGCAGTCAAGCGTGCAGGCGTACACCGTTCATAATGTAAACAGGCAGGCAGGTTAACTGCTGCTCGAAGTTCTTAGCAGGGATGGAGGAAAGGCTGGAAACTAAACGGGAATTGGTTGAAACGAATAAAATAAAAATCTCTTTTGGTGCAAAAATTAAACAAATTTCAAGTACCTGTGAGTATTCATGCAGAAAATCCCATCAGAGTTTCTTTGTTCCACATGTTTAGTGCTCCTCACAGCTCCTCTGCAAAAAAAACACATCAGTCATTAATGAATCTGCAGACGTGTTCTGTACAATAATGACCCTGGAAGAAAAAAAGCCTGCATTGTGTTTGTGTACCAGTATAGAGCTGCAGCAGGGTCAGTTTTAAACAGCAAACCTGCAAGTTTTTTATTTCAAATACAAAACTGAACAACAAGAGAAAATTCATTTTCCTTCCCGGGTGTTCTGCATGATACTGCTAAAATCCGTCTCTTATCTTAAAACAATGGATTTTTGGTCTGTGCATGCAGAGAAAGGTTTGTTGGCAGCAACAAACCTACAGAAAATTATCAGCCATCGCTGCGGCTGCCCACAGCTCTGCTGCTCAGCCTTTTCATGTGTTTCCTTTTGTTTTTGTTCCTCGTGACCTACGGTGTTTCTGTTCTGGCTGAGCCTCGCTGCTCTCATCAGCTGGTTTTAGTCAAAACAAACAAACAAGTAAAAAATTCATTTAAATTTGAATAGTTTGCTCCTAATTGATTTTGTTATAAATTATAACTTTTAGAAATGAACAAGGACAAATTCTAGAATTTCATGAATCATTTGTAATTATTGTCCTTAAAATAATGTGATTAATGTCATTTTTTGTGACGACTAAAAAAAACAGTCCCACTTTGGTCCAAAATATGTATTAACTTATACTAAAATGTGTTTCTAATGATTAAATGGAATGACTGGAAAAGCCCTAAATGTGATTTTAGCTTTTATTTTCTGCACTTTTCCATTTGGTGTTTGTCATAAATGTTTGTGTTCACCAGGACTCCGATTCCGGGATGTACACGTGCATCGCATCGAGCAGCACCGGGGAATCCAGCTGGACCGGGATGCTGACTGTCAGAGGTGCTTAAACACGTCACACTTTTACACTCCGTCTGTGTTTTAGTCTCCCTCGACTAGATCTAGAACTTTTCTTTGTGTAACAGAGGACGGAGCATCTTCTGGATCCAGAGTTTCTGAGTTCATCCAGCTTCCGGGACCACCGCAAAAGCCCGTAGTGACCGAGGTGACCAAGAACACCGTCACCCTCACCTGGCAGTCCAATCCACATGAAGGCGGGGCGGCCGTCACTTCCTATGTCCTCGAGGCCTTCAGGTGCGCTTCTGGTGCTGCGCTTGGATTTTTGTTGATCTGGTATTAAATGAGGATTGGTTCAGGTGGAGGGAAAAAAGGCACTTCAGAGTTACCCACCAGCAGGAGGGCAGCTTTGCTCTGCAAAAAAACCCACCTCAACAGATATGCAACAGACTTCAGACAACACAACATAACACGTGACTCCAATAGGAGGGCGGGGGGGGGGGGGCTGGGATCCTGTTTCCCCAGCAAGAGCAGCCCTGTATGGCGCTCAGCCACTGTAGCCACAGGTGGGAGGGAGATCTTGGGAGGAGCACAGAGCACATTGACACCTGCAGGTTGATGACCTCGCCAGGCTGAAGTCCACCAATCCGAAGGCGGCGGGGTAGGTCGGATTTTCACAGCATCTGTCTGCATTCCATTGTGGGGGTTTGTTGTTGCCATTCACAAGGCTGCCATGGCGTCAGATTCAGATAACAAGACTTTGTTTGGGTCAGACAGAGATAATTTTGCTCTCTGCCTTCAAGTCTTTAACTGATCATTCAAGTCCTCCAGTGAAGCCAATTCAGGTTTTAAACATCTCCACACCGTCCGGTGACCCTCTCCGAGATGACATCCATTTTGCGCACTAATACCGGTATCGCAGCTAGAACATTGTCCAGCTTATGATTCACCTCGAGTAACGTCCGAGTCTGTAAGGTCTCCACACGGACGGTGCTTTCCGTGGGTGCGGGTCGCCCTCCAATCGCTCCCGTCTTCCCAAATTTCCAGAAAACCAGATATCCTCCCACTCCAATCAGAAGAAATCCAGTGATCATCAGGCCAAACATCCACACATCTTCGACGTCCTCAATGGACAACTGGGAGAGGCATACGATCCTCCATTCTTTCCAGGAATCGAGCATATACCCCACCGGGTGTGTCCTTTGCGGGCAAGTGGGAGCCCCCTGCTCTGTTATCATCGTTGAAAAAATCTTATCAATCGCGTTGAATGACCAATTAATTAAATCCATTTCTAAAAAATAGGGGTTTTCAGGAGAAGTGCAGAGAAGCGCTCTGTGGGCAGACAGGACAAAGAGCCTTGGGAAAAAAAAGATAAGGGAGCAAAAAGGGAAGCGTCTGTACTCTGCGAGTGCCGGAAGTGTGCTGTTATTTAGTCATTAAAATTTATGAGGTTGGATTTAGTTAAATTCACAGAAAACAATTAAAACTCTGTTCTTATGTTAACCCCAGACAAGTTTTACTCTTATTTTTCTTAAAGTAACTCTAAATAGTTTTTTTAAGTTTTTAGCTAGAGCTTTAACGTGATTGTTGAGTTAGAAACATGACCAGTTTCATATTTGGCACCACTCTGCAGCCCTCTACTGGACAGTTTTGTGGAACGGGCAGGTGCTCTATAGGGGCGCTCTTCGCCTGCTTTATGGCAGTTAGCTGTTAAGCTAGCAGCTAGCTTTTTCAGTTCACCTATCGTCAATAAAAAGCACAAGAAGATAAAAAATAAGTTTTCTGTTGGCATCAAGACGAAGCCTGTAAGTAAAAGTAAGAGAGTAATGTCTTTGGAGGTGAAGCAAATAACTAAAACCAGAGTGACCAACGTAGCGGCCTACGCTAGTTTGAGGGAGCCAAAGGAGGCTATAAATTCATGGGCTGATGGTGACCTGGCTTTGTTGCTACTGGACTTGTAAGTAATATTTTTGTCCAACAGTGTGGATCTTTTAACTTCGTGGTTTGTTTTAGTATTAGTTGGCTCATGTTAGTTTTATCTTGTTGCTCCAGCAGAGTTGTTTACGACAGTTGTAATTCAGCTTTCAACCGGTAGCATAGAGGAGCAGGAAACTGCTCACTGTTACTTTAAAACCATGCACAGAAAAAACAAGCTTGTTAAATATTTGTTTAAACAGATCCAAAAGTGCATGGTTTAATGGTTTTACTTGTTTTGTCACACCTACGGGAGTCTGTGCTCTAACTAGAAAACAAGTGATCTGTAATTGTTTCTTGTTGTTTGCGCATTTTAAACCATTTTTGAGTCTCTCTGAGTTAAAGTTCAGCAGAAAACCTTCAATCAGTTTTCCAGCGCTGAGAAAGGTTCCACCCTTTAACTGACTGCTGTTCGATAATGAAGTCATCTGTATTTAGAGCCATTAGTTTTTTAAATGACTCATCTTTGCCCGAGGAGACAACGGTTCTATTAAGCGTCTCTGAGAACAGGAAGTGTGACAGTGGCTGCTTCAGTGTTTAACCAAGGTGTCCTGAGGAGAGTCGTAGCAGCTCTAACAACCAACTGGGGGCTGCAGAGAGGCAAAGAGCGAATGAAGGAGGCGATTACCGCAGTGGTCGGCCTGGCAGCTCTGTCCTGTCCTAGGGCGTCGAGGGGGGGTGCATGCTAAGCCAGAGAGCCCACTCATTATAGAAGCAAGATAGCGAGGACTGAACAACCACACACATTCACACTCATACGTTAGGAAAATAAATAAATGTGAAGGATTCACTCACATCTGCATGTTCCATCATCCAGAAAATGCTTGTGATTGCCTTTTTCGTTTCCAGATGACTGAAGGAAGTAGAAAAATGCTTTATTTTTCTGCAGTCGTAGCTCAACATCACCTACCAACACCCACGGTTTCTGATTTATTCAACAGTTTTTCTGCATGTTTTGTTCCGTTTGGGGTCTGGAGAAGCTGTCATGAGCTGATCGCCACTCCATCATGGAGACACACACACTCTCTCCCAGTCAGTTGGTTCAGAAACACATAGCATGCTGGGTTTTGGACTTTTTGAATGGGAGAAAGAACAAAGAAACTGCCCCTTTGCACAAAAAAAATGTACTTATTTGTTAAATCCTGAACTAACAACATTATTTGGAAAGCTGTGTTTAGTTTCACCAATTGCCAGACCTGTAGAATAAGAATTCATTTCATGGAACCTGTCTGACAACAGGTAGACAAATGATCTCAAGAAACAACAAATATCGTCACTTTCTAAAAGAAATGTAAGAACAAAACAACCCAGAGCATCATCTGAAACAACGGTCACCACCTTCAGGTCCACAAATACGCAGTTGTTAAGATACGCAACCACAGATATCTCTGATTTCAACATTCAAGCATGCCTAAAGAGCTAAGTCATTCCAGGCAAAAAGAAAACCACTTCAGCATTCACTTTAAACTATTTAAGACAGTTTTATTTGAGTTAAAAAAACAGTTATATTAGAAATTTAGCTTCAGCAATAGGTTTTCATTTTTATTTAGATTCTTGGTGATCGTCTCAAGAACCGCTGATCTATACTCCGTAGGATGTGGTTAAGAGACACTTTGATTCAACTAAGAGAAATAGTGCAAAAATGGCATCAAAATGACATCTCAAAATGGATGAAATCCCACCATCTCCAACTCAACCTCTCTAAAACTGAACTACTTGTCATCCCAGCAAAACCATCCATTCAGCACAATATCTCAATCCAAAATGACCTCCTATCTCTGGCTCCTTCAAAGGCAGTTCGAAATCTGGGTGTTGTGGTTGATGAACACCTGAGCTTTAAAGATCATGTTGCCTCTGTTGCTTGTTCATTTCGCTTTGCGCTGTACAACATACGAAAGATCAGACCATACCTAACACAACATGCCACCCAGCTCCTGGTGCAATCTACTGTCATCTCCCGCCTCGATTACTGCAACGCCCTTCTAACTGGTCTTCCAGCCTGTACTGTGAGACCTCTTCAAATGGTCCAGAACGCAGCGGCGCGTCTGGTCTTCAATCAGCCAAAAAGAGCACACGTCACCCCTCTGTTCATTGAGCTCCACTGGCTACCTCTAGCAGCACGCATCAAATTCAAATTGCTAACACTAGCATACAAAGTCCGAGATGGTACGGCTCCCATCTACCTGAATCCTCTTGCAAAGGCTTACGTCTCGGCCCGGCTGCTCCAGTCTTCACAGGATCGTCGGCTAGCAGTGCCTACACCACGCTCAGGACAATCCAGACTCTTCTCATGCATCGTTCCACAAATGTGGAATGACCTACCAAGCACTACCAGAACAGCGGCTTCCTTTTCAATTTTCAAGAAACTCCTGAAGACCCTGCTCTTCAGAGAGCATCTTCTAAACTAGCACCCTCCCTGCACCCGTCCCCCCTCTCTACTGTCCACTCCTTGTTCCCTGATTGATGACAATGATGTTGTTGTTAGCCTCAAGGGCAACATGCCGATTACCACTTGTAAGTCGCTTTGGACAAAAGCATCTGCTAAATAAAGATAAACATAAACATCATGGGAGAATTCAAAGATCAAAACCTCTGCTGACCAATAAATAAAATACAATGTCTCGTATCGCATTTGTTAATAAATATCTCGATGATCTTCTGATTAAGGGGTTTTGTTCACAAATAAGGGAAGTATCCTAGCCAGTGTACAGGTGGGACCCATGTGGAATATATTCATTAATCAGTATTGGTTTCAACTAATGTTATGCTCGATACGCATGCTGGTTTTGGATGGAGCAGAGGATTAAAAGGTTGTTTGGTGCCAAATGGCCTAAAAGAAGACCCAGGACACACAAACTATATTTCACAGCTGACTTGGGAAAACCTTAGGATTCTCCTGAAGGAACTGGTCCAAGTGACTGGGGAGAGGAAAGACTGGGCCTCTCTGCTTCGGCTGCTGCCCCCCATGATGCAGAGGAAAATGGATGGATGGCATTCCAGACCAACCTCTCAATACCAAAATAAACTAGACGTTTTTGGACGGCGTGCACCCCGTTACATCTGGAGAGAAAATAACAGAAAACCCTCACACAAACAGCCCAGCATGGTGTTGGTAGTGTGATGGTCTGAGGCTTGTCTATAATGAAATTTGTTACCTATTTAGAAAAATTTCACCCAAAATATTTTAGGTGGTCAGATATATTTTACATTACTGTTCACGTGCGATTCAAAACGATGGATCCTCTCTAGAAAAGCGGCCCTCGTTTCCTCGTTAACAGCTTCTTCAAAGCGTTTCTCTGGAGGAGCATTTGGAAATAATGGTGCACCTGATGATGATCGGGGGGGAAAAATCGCAACCCGCTTGATGCAATTCCTTTGCCGCTTTCCTCTCCACAGACTTGAGTAAAATGTTAAACAGTGCTCATGCTGTCGGAGGGTTCATGCACTCGCGCAGCAGCCAGCTTTTGTTTTCCTGCTGAATTCTGTCAGAAGCCAACCTGCAGTGTCAAAGGAGGAAATGGAAAAATCGTCTGCGAGCGGAGACCTGCTTCGTGTTTTAGATGAAAAGGATCTGAAAGGTTCAAGAAGCAATTCTTTAATTTGTTTTCTCGTAGAAGCTGAAGTGGTTTGGCATTTTACTTGTTTTCATGCTGATAAACTAATGAAAGAGGCTGATTAAACAAAAGATGCTAAGTTGTTTTTAGTCTTAATTCCAGGACAAATTGTTGCCTTCAGAGTGGTTTTGTGCAGCCCCCAATCATATTTCTAGAATGGTGGAATTTTTGTTTTTAACACTTTTATGTTCAGATTTTTGCTGATATGAGGCCTAATTTAGACAAGTGCAAATAAAAAGTCAGTTAAATTTTCTAAATAAAAATCAAAATCACATTTCTTTGGCTGCTGAGGACTTTTAACTTGAAGATTTTGGCTCTTGCTTTGAAAAGTTTGAACAACTCTGCATTGCACACAAGCTAGTTCAGCTAGCTGTTTTAGGTAACTTACTTGCCATGCTCAGCATTTTTAAGGGAAACTGAACCATCTTCCAAATACCAAATGACAATTTTCCCTCTGAGCCACTTAATTATTTTTATAGTTATCACAAAAAATAAAATAAATCTGTGTTTTTAAGTCTGAATATAATTTATTATTCATTATCGCAAAATAACTATTATCTTTAATCATGAAAATACATTTCTAAGCATTTCTACACTTGCAGTTTGGAGTTTTGTTGTTAAATGTTAACAAATGTTAACAAGTCTGCATCTGTGTCCCTTTTAATGAAAGATAAGTTATTTTCATGACTCATTACTTCCCCATGTGAATTCCACAATAACACACAGCTGCAGACTTGGAGACCGCAAATTCATGCTTGCTGCAGATTCACCGTCATGACCCACTCAGCCCCTTGGCAAACAGAGAGAATACTTAGTCGCAGGGTCAAACTGTTAGCACACGTGCACACACACACACACACACACACACACACACACACACACACACACACACACACACACACACACACACACACACACACACACACACACACTCATGCTTGTATGGACCTCCACTGACTTCCATTCATTTTAGTGACTCCACTATGCCTAACCATACCCTAATCATAACCTTAACCATTGGGGTTCCATTCCTAACCCTTACCTAAACTAGCCTAAACTAAAAGCTAATTTATACCATACCTCTAAAACCAAGTTTAAGGGCGCTCCACATTCGCTCTCACATCCAGGGTCACATTCTGTCTCTATTTTTGAGAGCTCCTGAAGATAAAATCCCACCACTTCAGCAGATTCTTCAGGAAAACTGGACAGGAGTCCTGTTCCTCTGGCAAACAAAAATCCATTATTTTGAGTTTTAGGTATTATTAAAAGTGCAGACTTGATGAGAAGGAAATCACTTTCAGTCTCTACATGGATAGACTGGGCGTTAGTGTTTACAGTCCAGTGAGACAACTGCAAATGTATTGGAAAAATGCGCGAATTTTGTCTTTAAGAAAAAGAAATTCAGTTTGGAGATTTTGACTTTTTTTCAAAAAGGTCACATTTTAGTATTCAGGGAATTCCTACCTTTCCTCATATTATTAGTTTACTTGAACTAAAGTATGTTTCATGGTTTCTCATCAATGAGAAAGCTTTAAAACATGTTTTCTCCCTGAATTACAAGTAAAAGTGGTGTGTAAATGTTGTTTTTCTGCTTCTGTCTTCTCCAGTGTTCCCCATCTGTGTTATCAGGACATCCGCAGTCGCTGTGTTGTGATAAAACCCGTTTCAATCCAGATTAAATCTCAAATTACTGGAGTGAAAACATCCCATTTGCTTGGCAAAAGTTGATTATCAGCATTCCTCCTGGTTAAGATTTGAGCAACTCAGAACTCGTTTAATAGTCGAGTCACACACAGGGTTAGAGATTTTATTTCCCTCAATGATGATATGTTGTGGATCTTGTTTGGTTTATCTGCAGCCAGTCGGTGGGCAGCACTTGGCAAACCGTGGCAGACCACGTGAAGCAGGAGAGGCACACCGTGGTCGGCCTCTTCCCCAACACGGTTTATCTCTTCATAGTTCGAGCGGTCAACTCTTACGGCCTCAGTGACCCCAGTCCGATCTCTGAGCCTGTCAGGACACAGGGTGGGTTGCATAATCAGAAAAATGTCCCTTTTCATCCCAGTTTTTCATTACATGAGTCTCACTGCTCAGTTTGCACTCCTCTTTTCACTTTGTAAAGAAATAAATTAGAGATAGTGGATGTGGGGCAGAGATAATGTGCTACGCTGTTTAAAAAAAGTGTTTTTCATGTGCAGTGTCATAACTAATTGCTTTCTCAGCGTGATGCTCTCCTGCCCTGAGCAGCGTTGAATTTTAAGTTTTACCCTTTTTTGCTGAATGCTGTAATTCAGCTGTGTGTGTGTGTGCTTTTGTTTTGTCTCATTTGACTGGATTTTTTGTGATTTCAGATGGAAGTCCAACAGAACAGGGTGTGGACCACAGACAGGTGCAGAGGGAGCTGGGAGAGGTGTCCATCTACCTGCAGAAACCTGTGGTTCTCTCTCCCACCAGCGCCAAAATCTCGTGGACTGTGAGTTCCCGTTATAGCTGATGGGAAAACATTTTAAATTTCAAAGTCATCTTTATAGTGCAGAAGACACGCTAATCTGCCATCAGAAAAGCTCCTTCAAACATTGCGTGTCAGAAACATTTTCACTCGAAGCAGAAACAGGGCTGGCTCTGAGCGTTCATGTAAATGTGGAATGTGTTTGTCTTGCCAACTTTCTTTAGGTTGCCCGTCAGTCACGGTACATTCAGGGTTACCGCTTGTTTTATCGGACCATCGGGGGCTCCTGGTTGGTCCGAGACGTGGAGGCTACATCTGACTACAGCATGGTTTTAGAAGATCTGCACAGCAACAAGGAGTACGAGATCAAGATTCGCCCCTTCTTCAATGAGCTACAGGGACACGACAGCCTCGTGGTTCTTTTACGAACACCTGAGGAGGGTAAGAGAGTCTCAGCAGAGTAAAAAAAAAAATTATTATTTAGTCAGGTCGGTGGCAATAGTGCACCTTGACTGTGTGCACTTTGGGCACCTGCCCACTGAGAAGTGCTCACTAAGCCAGATGGCCAATCCACCTCAAATAGGCACCCCGTGGCGCCCCTGCTGTCTCTTGGAGCTGCCGTAGTAGCCGGCCGTCATCTTGGATCTGCCCCCAATGCATTTATTTCTAATGATTCTAATAATTTTATTATACATTTTCAGAAAATCTGACATATGGTTTGGCATGATACGGAAAATATAAATATATTTAAGGGGGCATTATGGAAGTTTGACAGCCAAAACATGTATAGAAATAATACATTTCTTCTTCATACATTCTCCTGCAATGCCCTGGTCCTGTAGAATGAGCCCTGGCATTTTTACTGTGATTGCCTGTTTTTCTGTAAGATCACAGAAAAAGAGAGCTGCTCGGGTCGAGCAGGCTGCTTCATGCGCGTTCACGCTCAGGCATCGCCCTCCGAACCGTTCTTTGAACGTTGTTTCAGCTGTTATCAAGAATATAAATGTTACAGATACAAAGAACGCCAGTGGCACTTTAGCTCGCCTAGTAAAACGTTGGACTTGTGTGCAGAAGATCCGGGTTTGTTTCTGGATGCGAACACATTATTTAGAGTATTTTTTTTACATTAATGGTATATTTTTTTACAGTAAGATGCCCAAATTTTTATTTGAGACTCGCCGACGGCATTGAATTCACAGATAAAAAAGATTTGGGTTCTAATTTCATTTTGGAACAATTTTTCAAGCAAGGCAATGGAATTATCTGAGCATGCAGGAGGACTGACCCATCTTAAACCTTTGTCGGCTGTGCTGAAGAGAAAGGTACAGAACCAAATTATTTAATTAATTAGCTGCGCGTTCTCCTGTCCTCTGTCCTCCGAGCCACACACACACACACACACACACACACACACACACACACACACACACACACACACACACACACACACACACACACAAGGGACTGTCTCAGCTGTTATTTTCGTTAAGGAGTGTGCACGTACAGCATGCGCGCCTCATGCACGAGCCTACTATTGAAGCTGCCTTTACGCTTTTGGCCAGAGGGGGCAATCGCGAGCATAAAAATTCAAAACTCCGTAAAGTCCCTTTAAACACAATGAATTAAAGTGTAAAATCTCACCAGGAGGGATAAAAAAGTCACCTTCAATCCCACAAGATCTGTTTATAATAGTCCGCTGGCCGTGCAAACATAAGCTGCACAGAAACAGGCATGGTTGCCCACTCTGTGTTGACTCCAGCTGGGTATGGAGAGTGAGGAACCCATCCAATATGGCGGTGATGCTGTTACGTTCTTCAGCGCCCAATGGGGCGTCAACGTATTCATGTCTATGGTGAAAACACTGGATGTGTCACACCCCTCAAATTAATATTAATGTCAGATGGCATAAACTAAATTAAAGTAAATAAAATTAAATAATAACATAAAATACAAAAAAGTAGTATTGATAAATTTACTCTCACTGCATGATTTTCATAAACAGACAAAGGAAAATATTTTTTTTGATAAATAAGTAGGGCGAAGGCTTTTATTTTATGAATGCATGATCAAAGATTGTGTGTACTGGAGTCTATTGCTCACCTGTGTCGCCCTCTTATGTCTCCAGTTCTAAGTGGGTCTCCACAGGCTGTTTCAGCGGTGCAGCTCGCCAACAGCACCAGCATCAGCATCTCCTGGGAGCCGCCGCTTCATAATATTCAGACAGGCATCGTTCAGGAATACAAGGTGAGACAACACCTGGGAACGCTGCAGAGGGTGACGGAACCGGGCATTTTACATTCTTACACAGGCACTTCCCCGGTGAATGGGTGAATATGAAAACCTCTTATTCACAATTAACAATTAGTAATTACTCTTTACTGCTCCTGCGCTGCCAGTTCCTGTTTTGTCATCAGATTGTCCACTGAACACTGACTGTTCCTGTCATCTGCTTGTTCTGCGAGAAAACACTGAGTCCTGATTATGTCCGCCAGCATCAGCGCAACACTGATTACTAATCATCAAGCTGCAATTCCAGGAAAAAACGACTATTCTATTGTTTTGAGTTGATTTCTCCATCTGTATCTACTTGTAGGAAATTGTAAACCACTCGGCAAAAAAAAAAATAAATAAGTTTTTGTCGGGAATGTGGAAGAAGGCGAGGACCACACCAAATCTCCGCAACCTTCTCATTTTCAGGCTTTATTCTATTCAAGCTTTCAAAGACCTAAATGTGAGAAATATCATAAGTAGGCTGAGCGTTTTCCCAGCACATAGTTTCATTACAGCCCGCTGTTGTCTTCATCACAGAACTCCACTAAAGGTTAATTAATGAAAGATTTATTCCTCGCAAAACAATAGAGAGAGATATGCAAATTACAGCAGGGCTGGAAAGGAACTGTGTTACCGTAGCGACCTCGCTGATAGACGACACTGGATAGCCTGGCAAGCCAGACTAAATAAATGTATTATTTAGTCTGGCAATGCTCCATTGACGGCTCTCGGTTGTGGGGCGGGTTCTACCGTTGTCTTTCAAATGATCTCCGCATGCTTCTGGACAATGAATGTGACATACTCAACGCAACAGCTATCGGTAAATGAGGCCGTCCGCAGTTGAAGAAGGAGAAAACACATCATTTTTTCTAAAATAAAGCACCTAAATACATCTATCTGCTCCTGATTCTAATGAAGCCCAAGTTCTAACAGTCCAACATTGATGTTAAAGCCTTTTCAAACGAGCTGTCGCCATCTTGTTTCACTCTGTTGCATCATCCCACCCACCAGGCATATAGAGTGCCCTGATTGGCCCACAAAGCAGATAAAGCTTTGTGATTTGTTCACTAAGCAGATAGAGCACTATGATTGGCCCACCATTATGGACCAATCACGGCTCTTTATGTGTTTGAAACCCCTCTAGAGAGCTGTGATTGGGCAGCCAGAATGCTGTTAGGGGCTGCTGAGGTTCCAGTGGAGCGTTCCTAGACCAAACTTTGCAAAGCAAGAATTTGGTCTAGTTCACTAGGGTAGACACTGGATGCTGTCACTACAAATGTTGCTTTTTGTTAGATCTGTTGTTTTTATTCAGGGGGACTGGCAATTACTTTTTAGGGGCGTCAAAATGACCCAAAAATAAGTTTCATTGTGATTAGTTGCACAAGTTCATAGCTAACTCACGAGAAATCGTCTGTTAGCTTTTCTGGCTTTGGTTTCTCTACCTTTATCCCTCATCCTGTAACGAGTAAAGCCTGAGTCATGCTGCTGCGTCAGTGCGGAGACACGCAACGCCATTGTCCATCCTTGCGGACCTGCTGGAGAGCCTTCGCAAGGATGAACGGAGTCGAGCTCTCTTTTCTAAACATCCGTCCGTCGAGACGAAGAACGCGAGCTTGTGAGTGGTCAAGATGCCGCTGTCATCTACACCGCCGCCATTGCGCCCTCAAAAGCATAAAGAGAGCCGAGGATAACTAGCGGCAGACATGCAGAAGCTGGAAGAATATCTCGCAAAAAAACTCTAAAAATATGAACGTTTAATTCCCCGTGACTGGAGGAGAGTAAAGATATGCAGCAAGCGTTTTATGACAGGAAACGTGGCTTTAGAGGTGGCGAGCGCATGAAGAGGTGGAGGAGAATGAGAAACAAATTTGTCTGTGTTAAAAAGTCTCTTGTATACAAAAAACAATATAAACACACTATCTTGGAGCAGATACATGACAGGATACCACAGAACAGCGCTACGCCCTCTGTTGTCCTGGCAGGGAACTGCTTTGCAACTCTCCCGAGGCGACGGAGAAGTATGAGGGCAAAATGTCTCCGTCCGTGCGTGTCTCTTCCTTGTGGAGCTGATGGAGATGTATAAATCCAGCTTTAGGGCCAACTAAGAAATACCTTTCAATCACTGAATTCTCCACATAATACGTGGGTAGTATGAGAAGACCCAAGTTCCCCACTTGGGTAGTATAAAGTGATATGCATAAAAACATTGGTTGGCTGGTTTTGGAGTAGGTGTGGCTGAGGATCTCTAACCCTGAGTTGTAAGTGAGCTCTAGCCTTAACCTTTGGAGTCAAACCCTTTACCTGAAACTTCCTGGGCAGAACAACCTGCTTGACGAACTAAAGCTTGGTTTATGCTTGACGCATTCACTTTCCGCGCGGTGATGCGGCTCGCGGATGGAACGCGCTTCACAACTCGCAGCGTTTATGGTTCGTGCGGCTCGTCTCTGCGGTGAGCCAATATTCTCCCAAACTGAACGGGGCAGCATGGAGCTCTACGGCAAACATCCAACACTACACCATAGTAGAAGTAGAAACTACTGTTTACAACATGACATTTCAGCATTTTTAACAGCGTCCTCGTCTTTTCCGACAGCGCGAGCTATTTCTCTCCAAGAATTATTTACAACATGTTGATCACGGTGATCTCTGAGAGCTGAATCATACAAATGTCTGTATTTACGAACCTCTGCCATACTAGTTCTTGCCGGTCCGCCATGTTTTTCCGCGTCCGTCCGTCCATCCGCGTGGTTAGAAATTTTCCTAGGTGCGCGTTGCGGAAATCTTGGGCCGTGCGGAGACGCGGTGGAGGGGCGTGGTTGTTAAAATGTCGCAAAATGACGCAACTTTTCCGCGCGGAGCCGTGCGGACCTCGCGGACGCGTCAAGCATAAACCAACCTTAAGCTTTTGCTTTGTTTGAACTTTACCCTCACGGCTCTGTTTGATCATCAGGTCTGGTGTCTGTCGAAGGACGTGGTGCTGGAAGTAAACCGAACCGTGGACGGAGCAGTCCTGTCCATCCTGCTGACGGGTCTGCTGCCTGACGTCCGGTACTCAGTGGTGGTTGCTGCTGTCACCAGTCTGGGTGTGGGTGCTCGAAGCCCGCCTGTCAGCCTGCTTCTCAGTGAGTCACTCAAAGTGCTCCAGCCACCACAGAAATATGGGGAGATGCATCCTCAGCAGGAAGACAAGGGAAATGTGTTCATTCAGTCTTGTGAACGTGTTAAAGACAAGGTGCTCTCTCTACTGTGTCCTCACCATGTAGGAATGCATAGGCTACAAAATTCACCACATCAGACTGAAATGAACTATAAATCAAAGATGGCGGCACATCCATCTGCCCTAACCTACCTGTGTGTCTACAGCTAATAAAATATATTTGGAAGTAAAATCTGAATTTATCATAAACAACTAAAATATTGAATAATAATATAATAAATTTATTTCCACCTTAACCTGAATGTGTTTTTGTCTCAAATGTCTTTTGGGAAAAACACGCTTGGATTGCTGTTAGAAACAACATTTGCGTAACTTCCTGTGACCTTTCCAAAAATGTGATGCTTCCTCACATCTTATCCTCATACTTTCTTGTATAATGAACCAGTTAGACACAAATCTTAATGTGTGTTTGTACAATCCTCACAGTTTCCTTCTTTTTGTTTGAGTATTAAAGTCCTAAAGCCTTTAAACCCTTGCTTTAAAGTCTCTTAAAAACCAACCCCGCCTCGAAAGGTGGGAGTATTAGTACCTTCATCAGAAACCAATCATATTTGTTCCGACACATTTCATTGTCCTCTGGTGGAGAATCTATAGACGGTGAGAGCCAGTTTTATTTCTTTAATACTGTTTATAAAAAAGATCATTGTTGTAGTATAAATATTTCCATTTTTAGAACTTTATTTTTAAAATAATCAAAAAGCACAATGAATTTAACAAAATAAGAGCAATTAAAGTCAGTAAGGTCTCAAATAGATGCTATGAGATAGTTCATTGTTATTAATGAATGAAAATGCAGGAAGTCATCAGGTTTTATTCTAATTTTGTGTTCAAACCATCAAAAACCTGACATCACCTGGAGAGTCTGAAGCTTATTTTGAACCAGAATTAACAGCTAATGAGGGAAACGTGTCTTGTTTTCTATTTCCGGTGTTATTCTGTCTAGTCGGAGACCAGTTCCAGGAGGATCTCAGCTCTTGACATTATGTTCTGACACCATATTTTTCCTCCCTACCTTTCCATCCGCCTGACACTTGGGTGTCTATCTGTCTCTCATGGACAGTAGTTTCTGTCAGTGTGTCCATCAGCAGAGAGAAGGGAGGTGTGCAGAGATGTGGATGTGCGGCTACATCTGTGCCTGACACAAGCGCTAAAATATAAATTTTCATAAAAACCAAATTTTATTGTATAAATTAACCTTCTGAATGAAGACCGATTAAATATTTTAAGGCAAAATATGGAACTAAATGTCAGCGGAGGCATGGACCAGCTGCCATTTTGCACACTTTTTGACTTTGTGTAAAATATTTGATCATTCTTGAAAAAATCAGGTAAATTCATGGATGAACTTGCTAAAGAAAATACATGGTGTTTTTCTTCACAAAGCACTAAAAACTATGAGTCATTTTTGATTCATTTACATAAATATGGTGGTTTTTAGTAGTGGTTTTAGTTTAGTCTTGACCCAGTATGAGTCTGCGATCTCCTTAGATGTTCTCTCTGCTTGATGCGTGCCGATGATCTGACCCTTCTCATTCAGACTGACATCTTTTTCATGACCACCAGATGAGTCTTTCCACACAATTGTTTAAGAAATGAGAAGCAACTCATTGCACCAGTTGGGTTAAATAACTTGTTGCCAGCTGAGGCATAATTGGCCATGCAGCGGTCGTCCAATAGGAGGCTCCCACCTATTTGCTTAGTTAAATCCAGGTGGTGACATGTTTTTGGTGTGTTTTTGTCAATTAGATGTTTATCTAAACATCACCCACTTGTGTAGATTTCAAACATAAATTGGGACCACAGGTAAACATTTTCTAAAGGTCTTAATCTAGTTTTAAACTAACAGAGATTGGTTTGAAAAAATGAAATCTCTAGAAGCATCATCACTATGTGCACAAAACCATCTCTCAAGCACAAACCGAGTAATCACAAATCAACATAAGACTGTTTACGATAGGAAAAGAGCATAATTGCAATTAGAATATGTGCCTTCCTGATTTTTTGCCCTCCTCAGCCAGATACTCACAGATGTAATCCTACTGGGTAACAAAATCAATATTTGTTAAATTAAAACTACAACAAATTTGATTAAATACATGTTTTCATGTTTCCCTGTGTCAGGGATTAGGTCCTGCCTCAAGTGGAGGAGTTTAAGTATTTCAGGGTCTTGCAGGCGTTGTACCGGTCTGTCGTGGTGAAGAGAGAGCTGAGCCAGAAGGCAAAGCTCTTGACTTACCTGTCAATCGATGTTCCTACCCTCACCTATGGTCACGAGCTTTGGGTAGTGACAGAAAGAATGAGATTGCGAATACAAGCGGACGAAATATGTTTTCGCTGCAGGGTGCCTGGGCTCTCCCTTAGAGATGGGGTGAGAAGCTCGGTCATCGGGAGGGGCACGGAGTAGGCCCGCTGCTCCTCCACATCGAGAGGAGCCAGTTGAGGTGGTTTGGGCATCTGGTTAGGATGCCTCCCGGGCACCACCCTGGTGAGGTTTTCCAGGCAAGTCCAACCGAGAGAAGACCTAAAGGAAGACCCAGGACACGCTGGAGGGACTATGTCTCTCGGCTGGCCAGGGAAGGCCTTAGGATCCCCCTGGAGAAACTGGCCCAAGTAGGTGGGGAGAGGGAAGCCTGGGCCTCCCTGCTTAGGCTGCTGTCCCGGCGACCTGACTCCGGATAAGAGGCCAAAAATGGATGGATGGACCTTTTTTCATATTTACGTGCACACTTCACATTTTGTAGCATTTTATTTAGCTATAATATTTTCTTTGACAATATTTGATTAAATTCAGTTTATTGATTTTATTTTTAAAGCTGTTATGGTGAATCTGCAAACAAGCTAGGTTTTGAACAAAAACACGGTCATTGAGCACTCACCCCTCCCCTCAGGTATCTTCCTCAGATGCTTCTGCTGGAGCTGAAAACCTGTGATAGTGGACCAGTCGAGATAGAAAACAGCGACTGGTGTTTAGCACTATGTCCAAACATCTCTTGTTGTCCTTGACTTTAAATGGTGCTTTTCTTTTTGGGACTCTGGTAGTTTGTCCTAACGTTGAAGTGGTAGCAGCCGGCTGTTTCTCCTTCTCTGATATTACTGAGTGGAGAACCTCTCACACCAGTGGGAGGAGTTTGGTGAGCCTAACAACTGGATGGCCCAATGGTTGCTTTCCATACGCCCAAAACGTGTTTATTGGTGGAAATTTTTAGACAAATGCAAGAAAACCACTTTATTAATGTTATAACATTTTTATAATCTCCACAACATATGTATTGCTATACTATGTTAGAACATTGTTAAGAGGCATGGAAAAAATGTTTTATGCTAATTAGTTTCCCAGACTTGTTATAGCAGTGGATTTGTTTTTACTTATAATGTTCTACTGAACCAACCCGCATGCTTAACATTAATGAATAGCTTATACAGTAATCATACAAAAAATGCGCAGTTGGAAACAGGCTTCAACACAAGTGGTTGTTTTCCGCTTGGTCCTAGTGCTAAACCAGTGTCTATTTAATATAGCATAATATTGTTTTTGGACAGTAAAAAGTGCAGGGGACAAAAATTTACTTTGGATACCCCCCCCCCCAAAACTACGTCCATGGTCACACAGTGCATCACCACCCACTCCAATACCTTTCGCAATTGGTTGTGATTTAACAGCAAACCTCTAATAAGTGTTCACAGATGCAGCATTTTAGACTGATTCAGGCCAGCTGTGTTTTTGCATAAATCAGTTGGATTTAAAAAAAGGAGAAGGCCTTGTCCTGTGAGGTTTGGGGTCACAGAATTTATCAAAGAAAGTCGTTCCATTTAAACTGAGCACACTCTTCAGCGGACATTCAGGGCAACAAGAATGCTGCTGCCAGAAAAACTAACCATGCTGCAGAATTTCCTAAGTTTACTTCCAATACATCTGAAATGATTGTACAAAATCACACAGCAAGCTGTAATTTCTTTATGATGGATATATTTTCATTCTAAATTTGGCCTTATCCTTTAAATACTTCAAATAACGAGTGGCAGTTTTTTTTCCTCTATGGGCAAACATTTATTTTGACTGTGAAACTCCACAAACCCAGTGTCTCATTAAAAGTTGTAAGTAATAAATGTTAATGTCGCTGTGCCACATATGCACAGAAACTCTTTAATCTGGGAGACAGCGTTGATCAGTCAGTCTCTCAGAAACGAACAGTTCCTATTTATTTCTTCATGTCTGGAAGCAGATTTTGGGCGTCGGGTTTCGTGATGCAGTCAGACACAAAACACGAAGCTGGAGTGAGCCTTGGTGTATTCTGGTCCTATTTGTGTCAAATGTCTGATCCCAATATGTCAAATCCTGTGGTTTAATTTGTTTATTTGATTTCGTTTCCAACTTTGATGTTTAATTTTCTTTACACTGTTGCCTAATCTCTGTCATAAACTTTAGTGTGAGCTTTGTCCAGATCCACGAGGATAGTACTCACAATCTTCTGTGTGACTTTAACAATCTGGGATAGCCTTTCTGCAGCCAGCATCCCAACACTATAGCACCGACAATGCTCTCTAAAGCCGGGCGTACACTGTGCGACTTTTTCACTTTTTTGAGCCGATTTTCCAGTCGTGTGAGAATCCACGACATCGGGGCGAGTTTTGCGCTGAGCGTCGTGTAGTGTACAGGGGGTTACGAGAGGCGATTAACACCACGTGACCAGCTACTGATCAGTAATCGTGAGCTCGCACGGACTTCTGGCGTGTTTAATACTTCGCTCGTCCCTCGTGAGGGTATCGCACTGTTGAAGCGGCGCTGCGAGCAGCTGCGACCCAAAATGTATCAGAACCGCTCACGGCGCATGCACAATCCTGCATCAACACCGCTCCCCACTATTTCCCTAATAACACACTCTGTTCGTTTTTATTTCTACACGTTTTTTTACTCACAAAGATTGTCAAGAAAGCGTGTTTGTTGTGTTCATGTCAAATTAAACTGATCACAAAACACAGATTTACTTTCTTTATTTCATTTTCCTCATCCAACCCCCACAAATTCCTGTGTGTCCTCCTGCAGCACTCCCGAAGGACAACAAGCAAAACAAGACAAAAAAGTCTGACGTGTTGTGTAAAAACTGCTATTTTTAGCATATTTTTAGGGCCGACGTGTTGCTACCAGACGTACAGTGTGAGCAGTCAGGTCGCATCCGAGAACTGGGTCGTGCAGTGTGAGCGCCTGGCTCGTGAGATCTGCTCTGTGAGGAAGTCGTACAGCTTGAGCTGAAGCTGAGTGCTACGAGTGAAAAAGTCGCACAGTGTATGCCTGGCCTAAGACAGCTGAGTGAGGAGACTAGCTTTTTGAGATTTCTGAAGATGAAATGTCCCTCCTGGGGTGTTGTTTCTTTGCTTCCCTTTTGTCTGAACATCACTGTGCCATATGTTGGACCTCATCAGTGTAGTGAGTCTTAAAGTCTCCTATTATCAGGCCAATTCTAGAGTTAGAAGAGTCAACGCGTGTGAGGCGAACAGAGATGGGCTGAGAATACATCCTTGTGGTGCTCCAGTGTTTAGATTTCCAGTTTGGTGATTAATATCTTTAAAACAATGTATAGAAAACAAGGCTGTGGAGCTAAATTTTAAAAAGGGTGAGCCATTTATTCTAATTTCTATTAGGCTATCATTACATCTGACCTGTCCACCATTTGGACACCTTTCTTGGGTTTATGTCACACCTTCTGCATTTTCTTCATTCTAGCTCAACCTCTGGAACTGAGGAAAGAGAGTGATCCCAGCATAGCAGAGCAGATTACCAGCTTCATCCGCCAGCCTGCCTTCATTGCAGGGTTGGGCGTGGCTTCCTGGCTGGTGATGATGGGCTTCAGCGGGTGGCTGTACTGTCGGCATCGCAGAAGGAAGCAGCTGGGGCACTACACCACATCCTTTGCATACACCCCAGCAGGTGAGCAGGAAATGGGGCTTTTACTTGTCTGTTGAATTTTAAAAAAAACAGCTACTCTGACAAGCTTTTGAACTTTAATTCGGTGAAAGTTGTCACATCAGGGATGAAACACAGAGGGAAAAAATTCAGAGCAAACCTTTAGATTTAGTTTATAACCTGTGACAGAGACCAAGTTTCTAATAGACCTCTGGGGATATCTCCAGCAGTGATGAATGTTTTCAATTTGAGTTTGTGTTTATGCACAGCAACACCAGCTCTTTAATCTCACACTCAGTTAATTAAAATGTATTTATCCCAACTTGGCAGAAGAGAAAGTAAAAACAAAATAGAAAATGTGGAATGCAATCACAACAACTCAGTTTCAGTATGACCTTGGATCCACAACATGAACATATTATTCATCTTCTTGCATGGGGTCTTTCAGAGCGATGGTTGGATTAGATCAGATTTTAGTTTTTCGTTACCTGCAGTATTAACAGGAGAGGAAGTGCAAACGTCACCGCTGCTGCTGCGTTGAAAAGCACAAGTCCGGAGCGTATCAAAAACACAACATTCACTTGAAGTTATCACGTATTTTGTGCGCGAATGCAATTGCATGTACGTTGTGTTTCCGCTCGTTGATGAAATATCTACTACTAAGTATTGCAAGTTGCCCTGTTGTCATCTTATTCCCTAAAGTATAACCAAATATTTGAGCGTTTAGGCGCCATGTTTCATGCTGAGTAAATACGTACGCTACGAAACGTGCGTGGTGACGTTATTCATGCCGACTGGAACTGACAAGGGAATTGTTTGAAAAAAATGGCAAACAATTCCTAGGAATTGAAACAGTGGGGGCTGTTTCTCGACTAGAGCCAGTTTTCTATTTCCACGCCTACTAAAATGAGAAGCTAATCTGACAACCATTTTGTAAGTGTATATGTGGTTCTTTTTCCTTATCAAAAACAAGAGAGAGACAAGTTTTGTCCAAACTCAGCGTGGGGCGTTTATTTACACAACTCTTCCATACATCACCAACACTTCATAGGGGACAGCGTCCAGCTTCGATCTAGCACCTCGGCTGGAGATCCTTCCTCAAGAGCCCACTTTTCTCCTACACCACGCAGCATCATATACTCTTCAACCCCACCTCCCTCTGATTCTGAGAAATGATGGGGTGCTACTTCCACCTCCTAATATGGTCAAAAGTAGTTGAGACTTACATATCAACATGTTTTGGAGCATGTACTCAGCAGCTGGGCTGCCTGATAAACGGCTGGTATTGATAAGCAACATGTCAACATGCACGTACACAAAACACTGCTTTTAGCTCCTACATATACATAAACATTTTGTAACAGCACCCTCTAGGGGTCAGATTTAGAAACTATAACCAGTGGCACCCCTTGAAAATTGCTTCCCCCCCCCAGGAAAGACCAATGTTATTAAATCATATTATAGTTAACTCAGACCATAAATGCATCTTATTTATTCAAAACATAAATGTAAAACACAATAACATTTTATACAATTAATGAGTTTAAAAAAATTCTGAAATTAAAAAAATATATGTTTCTGTTTGGCCCCATCTCGCCACCCTCATCAAAAATTTCTGGAGGCGCCCCTGACTATAACAACCAGCCACCTTCTCCCCAACATGAGAAGAATAATATCTGCATTGCAGACATACTTTACTGTGTATTTAGATCTGTTGTGTGCATTTTTGTGTATGTAGGTCAACAGTGTCGTTTCATAGAAAATGATTCAAGTCTGCTTTTATAAACCCCACAAGGATAAAATGTTTAGCGAATCATATTGTGGAGGATAATTATTCAATTCTAAATGTTTGTATTCTCTGGTGAATCTTTAAAAAAATACCTGAAGGTAAAGGTTTCTTTTTCCTTTTCATTGCCATCAAACAATATTTATATTTTTCCTCTTTCCTTTTGTAGTTGGCTTTGCCCACAGTGAGGGATCAGGGATCATCAATGGAGGGTAAAGTCTGCATTAAGGTTTGATTCACATTATAAGTGATGCTCTGTGTTTGGAAACAGCATTGATATACTCTCCCCTTTCTTCCAAGGCCTGGCTTGTTGGGGTCAAATATGGGAAATTACCCCTGGCTGGCTGACTCTTGGCCCACTCCGAACCTCACTCAAAACAGCAAAGACTTGGTCAACTGCTGCGCTGGGAAACTGGACTCAGACCGATATTATAACTGTAAGATCTCTCAGAATACTTGGTTAAACATGTTGGACAGGCCGACTGGTAATGTAACACAGTCGTTTTGCTTGTCCAGCTGTCGGGATCATCAGCTACCCAAACCAGACAGAGAAACGCAGTACGGCATCCAATGACAGCCCCATTTACAGCACCATTAACACAACGGCTGAAGATGACTTGCTGGCGTACTACGACACCTATTCCAGTGTCTCTTATAACCCTGGTCCAGACCCGTACAGTAGCAACCCAGTACTGGCAAATGGTGGGCTCATGGGTCTGGAGCAGGACCTGGACCGGTGGACTATCCAGTCTGGTCAGTCTGGGTCTGAATATGCCAAACTTCAGTATACCAAAAAAAGCAATGGTAAGTATTCAACATAAAACACTCATTTCATTCATAGAAATCAAAATATAAATATTGCTGTAAAAATTGTATGTTGTTGACCATAATTAACATTAAAAATTAAAAAGGGGAGAGAAAAAAACAGTGAGACAAACTGGATTTGAGCAGTAAGAAGTTTTTAGTAGTTCTTATTCATCGCTTTTCTTTAAACGTTCACTGTTTTTATATATGATTTCAGTCTAGTCCTGTTTGGTGAAGACTTGGAACATCTTCACCTCCTATGTCCATAAAAAATGGACAAACAAAAATAAGAATAAAAATTGACGGAGCTAAAAATAAATAATAGTATCTCAAGCATGTGAATGCCGTACAAAAAGTGCACACTACACATGAACTGATTTCACACACAAACATTCTCTGGTCAGATGGGAAATCTCACTTGCCTGGCAAGCAATCCTATATATAAATTTATAGTCTGGCCACGACCCATAGACAGAGCTCAGTTGTAGGGTGGGGTCTATGGTTGTCTTTCAAATTGTCTACACCTTCTATTGGACAACAAACAACGTGACATACTCACCACCACGAATGTCAGTCAACGGGGCAGTCTACCATTCACTGTCAAAGAAGATGCAAATACATCCTTTTACTAAATAACAAATAACAATATATTACTAAATAATAACTTAAGTACCTCTATCTGCTCTTGATTGAAAGAAAAGCCCAAGTCTATGTAGTCCAAGGTTAATGCCAAAGCTAATTCAAATGAGTCGTTGCCATCTTAGTTTCACTCAGTCGCAGTAACATCCTGCCCACCAAACCGAACGCTGTGATTGGCAAGCTACAATATTGGTCTGGGTCTGGGCTGCTGAGGTTCTAGTGAAGTGTGGCTAGACCGACATGCAGAGCAAAATCATTTTGCATCAAACGTGACTTTGGAGTTAACAAATATTGAGTGTGCAGCATGCTTCCATCACCTCGCCTTCTGATTAGCTACACATCACTTTCAACAAACAGCCCGTTTGTCCTCAAAAATCAGATCAAGAAAATCTAACATGTTTGAAAGCCCTGATTTATGATCGGAATGGTCCCAACATTCCTCCGAGCAGACTTGAGTGCTCTTTACACACCACACATGGTAGGAATATCTCCTAAGATTATCTTTAGAGCCATTATGGTTCTTTGGCTCATCCTTAAGATTGTCAGATGAGAAGGGTTGGATCAAAAATCTGCCCAAATATCCTTGAGAATCGGACATTGAGGAACTGGAGATAACACCAAACACAGGAACTGAGACCTGCAGTCTCTTCAGGGCTATGGGATCAAATCTCACCTCTGCCACTATTAGGAGACATATTAAAATTAATTAGTCATAAGCAGCAGATTTCAGGAATAAGACAATTCCGAGCAGCAGAAATCGTTCACCTTTAGAGTGAAGGAGAACTTATAAATCTAAGATCCTGGAGCTTATTCGTCAGAGCTGTTTCAGTAGATCAGAATAAGATCCGACATGTGTTTAATGCTGTACTTAGTGAAGATACATCTCCACATCTTATTTTTTCCAACACAACAGAAGTAGCACTGACTGACATGTTAAGTTTAGGCATCTTTTTTTTATTACTTATGGTTTATAGCTTTGTGTTAACTTGTGTTAATAAAAACAAAATGTAAAAATGAGGAAACACAAAGGGCAACATTTCACTAGTGCTTTTAGAGCAGCAACTACAAACATGAGCTCTGCTCATCTCTTGTTAATGTTTATCTTCGAGATACACTTCAGAGGATTTAAATTTTAGGCAAGAGTTGAATAACAACATAATGTAACTGTGACCAGAAAGACCTGCTGAAGAACTCAGTGAGCCTGATTTGCTGTAACTCTATTGAAAGGCAGGGTGGTTGTGAAGAAGAAAGGTCAGCAAAAGAGAACATCCTGCTGCTAAGAGACAGGAGGGCTTTAAACAGGTTTAGGTTGGACGTATTCATCATCTAAACTGTCCATCCATTTCCGCTATAGGGTCAGGGTGAAGGTAAATGTATAAGTATACAGATCCAAAGCACCCCAAGGTGCCACACTGGAGGCAAAGAATGATTAAAGGATTTTTAGTGAACAAAGTGGTTACGAAACCAGAGAGCAGTCCAAGGTTAGTCGGTAGGTGTGTGAATACAAAGACAGATTAATGAAGTGGAATCGAGTGTACGGGAGGGCAGATGCGAGTTGTTTCTCCGCTGAAAGGAAAGAAAACAAGACCTCACTGTGAAAGAATGCCAAAAGGCCATAACTGTGACACCGAACGTTGTTTTTTTAGACAAACTGGCACAGCAGATGTCCACTGGGTCCAAGTCAACTCCTCTCACCTGGGTGGACGTTTTGTCTCTGCCTCTTCCCCCCAACAAAGACAGAAGTCGTCCAACGTCGAACAGAGAAGAGGCACGGCACAGGTGAGGCCTGTTAATTCGGTCGGAGACGACTTTTCGAGGCTCCTCTTTTTCCGATCTGTTGCTTGTCGACGTTCAGCCTCTTCTATTATTAGCACAAAACCCTCTGGCTTCGTTTCTCTGACAGTGAGAGTTAAGGCAGCTGGACATCAAAGCCACTGCCAAGGCTGTCAAACAAAACTTAATCGAAGTTTAGAGTTTGCAAATTAACAGTTGTGTCCAAAGGCGGTGAGTGGATGGGCTTTGGGGCCGGGGAGGGGAGCGTCTGCTCTAACTCGTTCTGACACGTTAGATTGTGGACATAACGGGGAGGGATCGAAAGGCTGTTCTGGCTGCAACGCATCTTTTGTAATGACATTAGTCTCCGTCTGACAGGCTGAATTAGTACTTTCTATTTTCAATGACACGTCCGTCATTAAATTAGCCCTGATGGCAATACAATGACAACAGAAATCACGGAGGTGGATCTTGTGCTCTGTTTTCTTACTGGTTCCTTTTTCTTAGATAAATGTAAAAATCAAAATGTGCTTACTTCCTCTTATTCTATTTTACGTCAGTGGGTTTAAAGACTTTGTCAGATGTTTTATTTTTTTCAACTACTGGTGGTTTTTTTTTTCCAGCGGCGCTCCCAATAAAATAGTGAACTTGTGAATATGATAAAAATAGATGTATGTGTTAGCCCTTATGGGCATGTTGCCATATTTTACTTTTAATTATTTTCTAAATAAACACCCACCGCCTCTAGTTATTGTTTTGGAAATTGTGTGAAGCCAGGTCAAATTATGCAGAAAGAGGTATCGGCATTCACCAGATATCTTTTGCAGCAGCGTCCTAATGCAGACACTGTGCACGGCGAATACAGAATAACACAAAAAATGCAACAGCAAGTGTTCTGAAGGTCACGCCTCTGGCAAGCCATTGATATACCTCGCTTGCACATATTGTTATGTTCTCTATATAAGGTCAAACCCAGCTCCCGTACCATTGGTCTGGAAGACGATGCTATTCAGATCACACGTGGCCTGTGCAGATTTTTAAGGGACACATCAACCCAGATGTCCTTAAAATGTATCTGCTGAGGTAAACAGTTCTAATAATTGATTGGTCAGCTGATTAATTAGGCTGAATTTTGCCATTTTTAAAATTGTCTGAATCAGCCATTTGTAACCTCACGGAGCCAGGTGGACACTACATTTTCTTCTACTGTGTTAAATTTTATTAAGCAGCATTAGTTTTCCTCAAAAAAGTAAGTTTGCAGCTCAGAGGTAAACACATCTTATCTCTGGTAAATGGGATATTTTACCGATATCTGATTTACATCTAAGTCAATCTCCATTACTAATAAACCCCCCTCCCATAAAAGATAAAGTCCCATTGGTCATCACACACTGGTGTAACACATTTGACCCGTTCCTGTGGGGAGCGGTGAGCTACAGCTGTGGCTTTGGAACTATTTGGTGGTTTAACCTCCCAATCCTACCCCTTAAAGCAGAGTGTCAAGAGGGGAGGTATTGGGTCCCATTGTTAAAGTCGTTGGTATGACCCGACTGGAATTTGAACCCCGATCTCCCAGTCCCTGGGCGGATGCTACCACTAGGCCACTGAGAAGGTTGAAACAAAAAATACCAGTTTTTCTCTTTTAATTAGAGGTGTGGACTCGAGTCACATGACTTGGACTCGAGTCAAACTTGAGTCATTATTTTAATGACTTCTGACTTGACTTGATAAAATCTGTAAAGACTTACGACTTGACTCGGACTTGAACGCCAATGACTTGCGACTTGAATCGACTTGCATCTGTTGACTTGATGATGACTTGAGCATATTTGACATTTTAGCACAAAAGTGGCACGGCATGGACAAAAGTCATAAATCATTCTTCGTTCTGGGTTTGATCTTGTACTGCATGATGCAGCAGCAGTTTGTTTATAATCCGTTTCAGTTGCACTTCCTGCTTGTTTGAGCAAATAAATGAAGCTTTAAGAAGCTTTATTTCTGGACTTTATTTATTATCATTTTCATTCAATTGAAGTATGACAGATGACTCGATTATGACTTGAAATCCAAAGTTATGGGCTTGGACTTCCACATCATTGACTTTGGACTTGACTTAGACTTGGTTGTCTTTGACTTGACTCGAGACTTGACTGGAAAGACTTGTGAGTTGCTTGTGACTTGCAAAGCAGTGATTTGGTCACACCTCTGCTTTTAATTACACAACTTTTATCTACCATTCACATATTATGCATCAAACTCTTCAGCCACATCTCCTCTCGGTCAAAATCTCCAAATGTCCGAGGTCTAGTTTTTCCAGATATTTTTGTACATTTGGCACAACTGGCCTAGCTTAAGTAGTAAGAAGTAGTTTTCGTCTTTTATGCGGATGAATTTTAAATTACCTGTATTTGCCCACTTAGGGTTCTACAACCCCCCAAGGCGCTTTACAACACAATTTCATTGCCTAAAATGATTTAGTTTTTCTTTTTTTATTGGGAGGGCATTTATTAGTCAGCTTCAATGAAAACCCAATTTAATTTTTTTTTTATAATTATAATCAGTCACTCTGAGTTTTTCATGATGGCCGAACATGAAAATAGCTTCTGATAGAAAATAGACAGAGAAACTCTACGTCACACTGTCACTTAACATTCATGGACTCACCCATCTTGACTCACAACAAGGAAGATTGTTGTTGGTTCGGTGTCCAGGAAACAGCAGAGAACATCTCGGCTAGTAGAAGCTAACTATTAGCATTAGCAACTCCACCACACAGCAGAACTTTTCCAGGCTTGTGGTATTTGTGGAGATCAATGTTGCAAAGCAAACAGAGCCAGTGATAGAGTTGTGTTGTTGTTAGCCAATCAGATTTGAGATGTTTAAATATCAGGAAATGCCTTCTGAAGCTCATCTGTGATCTGGCTAACTTACCTGAAACAGGTGCACCAGAGCTTTTTCTTCTCCAGACTACAACTTATAAGGCATTTGGTTCCTACTAGAGACCACTGCAAATGTAGTGAAAATATGAGCAAAGTTGACCTTTTAACAGTAAGACAAAATTGCGATATCGGTTAAAATTCAGATATACAAAATTTCAGGTTTTATTTCATTTTGGTCATTACACAGTTACTTTTTCTAAAAGACACCCCCATCATTCTGCACTTACTGATAATGTATTCCTTTAGCCCTGAGGAGGACGATGATGACTGGTGTCCCCCGCTGCCGGCCAGAACCTACCTGATGGACGTGTCCAGAGAAGAGGTCTCCAGCCTGCCCTCTAAACCAGAACAGATTTCCTTCACAGCAAAAGTGCGTTCCCCACAGCGAGGCGTGCCCAAACCTGGGAGCAGTCCACCTCTTCAGCAGTTCGACCTCCTGGGCCGTCACCACTCGGTGTCCCAGTCCAACCCTGATCTGTTTACCAACACTGAGGCTCTGGATGCCAGTGATTTATACAACTCTAGCCACTGGGTAGATGATCTCAGGGGAGGAAGACCCAGCAACGGTCAGTTTGATTTAATATGGATGCCTCAAATCTAGAAAATTTTCCCTCATAACGATGCAGTGTCACGTGTAATTTGGATTACGATGTTACTCAACAGAAAGTATTTGTACATGGAAATCATGTTGTATTTGTTTGGGCTGGGTTGCTTTGCTGTAAGTTTCCCCAGGATGACATCTGTGTGCTTCCTTGTCAGGAAAATCTCCAGCTGCAGCTGCAGAGTCCAGCCCTGCAGCCCAGAGCCACAGATCCAGGAGTAAGAAACGAGCGCCCAAGGATGGACAAAACCGAAGAGAGAGGCACGGCGAAGCAGGTACAGAACACTGCTCCCGGCATGTTAGTCTCTGTTTCTATGTAATAAACACAAATATTATGTTGTTTGTTTTTACTGTTTCTAATCAATTTTGACTGCAGTTGCACACAAATTTGTTTCACTAATTGAAAAAGCGTTATTGTCTCAATTCATTAATAACAACCTTGGTGATTATTCAGGTTTAGAAATGAATTAAGGAGTAATTAACAGGCTTGCAGAACTCGGCATGGCGATGAGGTGGTTAAATCATTTGATTCAGGCGTGCTGGAGAAAAATACCTAAAATATTCAGGTAGCCCTGGAGAACTAGAACTGGAAACGTCTATGTTTGGGATTGACTGTCTGGGACAGTTATGTTTTGGGACCTGGGTTGATTCGAGACTTGCATGTCTTGGGGCTCTTTTTGACTTGTGACTTAATTGTCTTGAAATGTACCCTGACATGGGCATGTTTGTTTTGTAACTAGACTTGACTCTGATATTGCACATTATAGGACTTGACTTGACTAAACCTGAGTCATGCTTCTCCGTCTGTGTCAGTGCGGAGACACGCAACGCTGTTATCCGTCCTTGCGGGCCTGCCGGAGAGCTCCGCAAGGACGCACGGAGTCGAGCTCTCTTTTCTAAACATCCGTCTGTCGAGACGGGCAACACAAGCTTGTGATTGGTCAGGATGCCACTGTCGTCCACACCGCCGCCGTTGCGCCCTCAAAAACATAAAGAGAGCCGAGAATAACTAGCGGCAGACACGGAGCAGCTTGAAGAATACCTCGCGAAAAAACTCTAAAAAAATGAACGTTTAATTCCCCCGTGACTGGAGGAGTGAAAAGATGCACAGCAAGCGTTTTATTTGTGGACGGAAATGACAGGAAACGTGGGTTTAGAGGTGGCGAGCGCATGAAGAGGTGGAGGAGGATGAGAGACAAATATGGCCGTGTTAAAAAGTCTCTTATATACAAAAAAACACAATATAAACACACTATCTTGGACCAATACATGACAGGATACCACAGAACAGCGCTACGCCCTCTGTTGTCCTGCCAGGGAATTGCTTGGCAACACTGCCCAGGAGACAGAGAAGCATGAGAGCTAAACGCTTCCGTCAATCCGTGCGTGTCTGTCCCTAGCGGAGCTGACGGAGAAGCATGAACCAGGCTTAAGGATTTGCATGTCTTGGGACTTGACTTAATATGAGACTTGCATGTCTTGGGACTTAACTTGACCTAAAAATCCTGTTTATATTGCACCATATCACATGCAGAAGTTTTTTTTAGAAGTGCCTTTCAAAGCTCATCCAACTTTAAGGAATTCTGTGAACCTGACAGCATAGTTTGGCTCTAAGTGGTTCAGAAAATGACTCATGCTTAGTTTTGCATTTTAAATGTTCCCCCACTGCACCAGCCATGGTTACGGGTGGGGAGTCACTCAAGGCCAAAGCCACACAAACTGCTCCTAACAATAAAGTGAATAATGCATGTTCCCTCAAAATGCTAAACTATTCATTTCAGATTTTTTTCTAATCATTTATGCAGAACTGCCCCCTCCACCGTCTCCCCCCTCTATGGACAACTCACTGCAGCTCTTTGTGGACGTTTTGAGTCGCAAACGAGCGAACGACGAAACAAAAGAGGGGAGCAACCCGCCGACTCTTCCAAAGAGGGGAGAACATTTCTCACCAGGACTGACAAAATGGTTGTCAGAAGGTAAAAAGCACTGGTTCAGGAAAAAAAACTGAATATCCTTGTGAAGCTCCCTGTTAATCTCGTTAAACACCACCTTATCGTGGACACTACAGGGGGACTTTTTTTTAAGTGTTCGACCTCTTTTAAATACATCTGTAATTTTGTCTAATCTGTTGGTCACCAGCAGATGAGAATGTAATCCCAAATGGACCGCCGGGTGTCTTGTCCAAGGTCCAGGTTTCAGGCTACGGGTCTCTGGGTGGGAGAGTCTTGCCCCGACCCTCCACTGCTGGCCAGAGGAGAGATGAGGTATGTCTAAACGAACGTGAGGGAGCCTCTGGACGATGTGCACGCACACACTTTGTTACGGTCGGTTCACCAACAGGCCGAGGGCAGTGAGTGACAGATGTTTGTGGCGGCTGAAGGCTAAGAGGTACTTATCTGGCACGGAGAGTCAAGGGAAAGGTCTACAGCCTCTGTTGGAATTGTTAAAAGTAAATACCCTTTACATTTTAAATTCAGTGTGCTGTTGCTGTTCGTGCTTTTGCCTTGTTAGCAACATTCAGCGTTTTTGTTTATTTACATTTTTCAATCGATAATCAGAGGGAGGCATCTCTGGTCCTGCACTCAAACCGCAGACTCTGTGCTTGATGCATCAATGGTGCTAACGCAAGCCGTACTCTTGCACTGACTTCTGTGCAGAATCTGAAGCAACGCCCTCGTCACTGGTCTTAAAACTGTGGAGGACAATAAACAGAGTTTGTCCTGCAGTTGAATTAGTTGCAGCTTCTGATTTCCTTACTGGTAGAAGTCTTGAACATGGCGTCATATTTGACTAAATCTCTACTCTACATCAGTGGTTGTTTTATTTTAGCAGCTTTGGTAAAATTTTTATCTAATCTGAGTTTGCAGTAAGGATTACCTTGTCTTTGCTCAAATTGACCAATCAGAGGACTCTAGATTTATTTGGAGGTAGGGAGGTAAGAAAATATCGATACACTGAAATATCACAACATGTTGTGTTATGATTCTGAATCAATATTTATTAGCAGTTTATAGATTTTTTTATTTATTTATTTTTTTGAGAATTTACATGCAAACATTTACAGCATTTCCTTTGGGGTGGGGAAATTCAAACCATGACTGCTAGGAGGCAGCAGCTGTACCAAAGACCAGTATGTCTACTCTTTCAACAACTCAATTTGTCAATAAAAACAGCCTGAAAACATGATTAAATGTGATGTTTGTCTGTTTCTTGAACAAAAAGGAAACTTTTTAATGTTTAATTAGGGGAAATGAACATAATAAATATCAGTATTAACAAATAAATAGTCTAAATCATTCAGAAAAGGCTAATCTGCTGCTGAACAAATATCTTTGCGTAAACTTGCTCCTAAGTGGAAATGTTTACACTCATCTGTTTTGTTTTGGGGTTTCTTTCAGAACCTGATATGAACCGCAGCTGATGACATCATGTGACGTCCTCCTTTTTTCCCCTCCCTGATTTCCTGTCTTTGTGAGCCATCAACCTGTTGCCATGGCACCTCATGAGAAACTGAAGCATCAAGACTCTCCATCTGCCTTGTCACAAGCTATTTGGATTCCTTTTAGACTATAATTTCATCACATTTATTGTGTGTGTGTGTGTGTGTGTGTGTGTGTGTGTGTGTGTGTGTGTGTGTGTGTGTGTGTGTGTGTGTGTGTGTGTGTGTGTGTGTGTGTGTGTGTGTGTGTGTGTGTGTGTGTGTGTGATTTTCCTCACCCTTACTCTGTATAAAGCCATCCTCAGTGTAATTTTTAAAAGATGTGAGCAGATATATTGATTAAAAATGGACCTGAAGAGATATTTTTAGGCAAAGGGAAGTAAATTATTGTTGTACAGCAGATTATTGAATGTATCTTTAGTTTCTAACCAGAAAATCATGATGCTGAGAGTTTGATGAAAGTTTAGGGACAACAACATGACAAAGAGACAAATTTAAAGCCTGTTACATTCGGTGTGTATGTGTGTGTGTGTGTGTGTGTGTGTGTGTGTGTGCGCGTGAGTGCGTGTGTGTGTGTTTATCTCAATGTATGTGCGTAAATGTTTGAATGAGTGTGTGTGTGTGTCAGTATTTTTCACATTTTTTAGCGTGGCTGTGTACTGTAGTAGATCACCAATGTGTTGATTTTTAAACCGAACAATAAAAGCTTTGTTACTAAAGTGTGTGTGTGTGTGTGTGTGTGTGTGTGTGTGTGTGTGTGTGTGTGTGTGTGTGTGTGTGTGTGTGTGTGTGTGTGTGTGTGTGTGTGTGTGTGTGTGTGTGTGTGTGTGTGTGTGTGTGTGTGTGCGGACTGTCACAGAAGAGTAGAAGTGTTTGGTTCTTTTTAGCAGCAGGACTCCAGCCTGTCTCTGAGTCAGCTGGTCTGTTGCCTCGGCTCAAAGTAAAAATGTTCCCAGAAAGTTTGAGACTCTGAAATCTCAAAAGAACAAGACTCAGAAAGGCAGGCTCTCGATCAGTCAGAAATTAAAATAATGATAATTGCATTCAAACTAGGAGGTTGTTCTCCAGCTTTAATCATGTGTTCTAAATATTCTTAGGGCGGAGCTCTTATTTTGAAAAGCACAGCAAAAGGCTCTTCGATATGTGTTGCACGATGGTTTAAGAAAATTAAAGGCAGTAAAATCACTAAAAAGGGGAAAGAACAAGAAGTGTCGTTTCACTTTATAATGCAACTAAATGGTTTCTACTCACTCATGAACTAAATGTTGAGAATGAACCAGAAATCAGTGGATGAAACTCAGACAACATAGTTGGGTGGAAGGACTTAACTTATGCAGACACTTGATTGTGATGTTTAGGTGGCCTAAAGCTGCAATGTCAAATTTCGAAAACAAATTTGATATTTATATATGTATATATATATATATATATATATATATATATATATATATATATATATATATATATATATATATATATATATATACATATATATGTATATTTTTAATCATGTGTTCTAAATATTCTTAGGGCAGAGCTCTTATTTTGAAAAGCACATCAAAAGGTTCTTCAATATGTGTTGCATGATGGTTTAAGAAAATTAAAGGTAGTAAAATCACTAAAAGGGGTATATATGTATTTGTTTATATTCTCAATAAGCTTCTGGATAAGTGGAGTCCGATCCAGGTCCTTGAGGAACACTATCCTGCATTTTTAAAGGCTTCTCTGCTTCAACACACCTGATTTTAACTAGTGTGTGATTAACAGGCTTCTGCCGAGCTCGACGACCTGCTGAACAGGAGTTTACACCATTGACCATGGTGTGATAGAGGAGGGAAACAACTAAAACATGCTGGCTAGTTTATCTTGAGGACCAGAGTTGTTGCCATGAGTGGCTGATTGGTGTACCCAGTAAAAAGGCTGATGCACGTAAATCAAGGGGAATTAATCTAAACAATAGAGCCCCGGACCCCACGTGACTCTCAGTTAGTGGACGCCATTTTGGCATGCAAAAAAAGGTAAACAAACACGGATGTAACCATGAACATGAACGGGATCCGCTTGGATTTTACTTCGTCGGAGTTTACTTCACACTTTAAAACAGAAGAAATCATTTTATATAGTCGGAAATTAAATAGACTAAACATCTCCGACCCTTACCGTGCCCCTGGGATACTTTTTAAAAACGCCAGAAACTGTCGGAGCGGACTTCTTACCGGCACAACACCGGACCTGGCCGGGGGAACCCCTTGGGATTCCCCCAGCCGGAGGAGCTGGGGAGAAGGTCTGGGACTCTCGACTCTACTGCCCGCTCCGACGCCAGAAGCTGTCGGAGCGAACTTCTTACTGGCACAACACCGGACCTGACCGGGGAACCCCTTGGGATTTACCCGGAGGAGCTGGCTCCGGCGGCTGGGGAGAGGGAAGTCACGCTACTGCCCCCGCAACCCGACTCCGGATACGCGGATGAAAATGGATGGATGGACGGACAAATAACAGATTTACACGTAAGTAGTCTCGGTGAGACAGATAATTGCAATCCAAAGTGCTTTTTATGTGTGATCTGACAATTGATCAACCATTGCTTAAAAATGAAATACAGCTTAGCCGGTTAATTGCTGTGATCATAAAACACGTAAACGGCAGCACGCAGAACTCACGAGGCAACGTTTTACGTGATGTTTACTTGTTGCTATGAGTAATAAGACAGAAAAAGCCACGCCAAAATAAGTTTAGGAAGCCCACTAAGAATCGTAATTAAAGAATTTAAAATAAATACCATACACAGTTGAGGAAACGTTGGTTTAAGTACCTGATATGAAGCGGTCGCTGCATAAGCGAAAACCTTTACTCTCGGGATCCCACAGCTTCATTTTCGCCCGGTCACTAGCGCGTTTTATTACAATGATCCAACGTTTGCGGAGCTCTGGATCTTGGGGAATCCTGTAGATGGCTCATTCCTTATGTCGTCCGCGTCTGTTCTGCATCCTGGGGCACAACAGGAATCTACCATATTTCCTGTTTGATTGAGTTTTCTGACAATAACAAATAGTCCAGCTGCCGGCTTCTGCCTGTCAATATGGCGCCGTTTCGATTTGAACTGTTGCATGCCGGGAGAAGTGACGTCAACTCCCGGAGCTCTATACACCAATATTTAATAATCCCAACAATGTACCAACACACAGATTATCAAGGTTAACATCATCTGTCAGTCAGAGAGAATGTCAGACCAGGGCCTTACTCTCCCAGTTGGGGGTATTTATTCTGAATGTTTCCTGCGAGGGAGTTAAGAGACATCTGTATTTAAAAAAAGAAGCAAAATAAAATAAAATCAGTTATTGGAGTCTGGAGATGTAGCTGACATCACTTTTGACAGCAATCATGAGCATCAGCATGATTTGTATGTAAAGAAAAGAACAGCAGAGAAGCGTTTTCTCAGGTGACTGGGAGCATTAATGCAGGACGTGATCAGACTGTCAGCAGGAAGCACGTCCACATCTAACAGTGGGGGTTGCGTTACAGCGTAAAAAAATCTTCATCACAAACACGACTGCTCATTTGAGAGTTCGCTTATGTAGAAGCAAGAGGGGCTGGTCTATGGAGATGCTTTCGTCTACGGCAAAAGTGTCACTGAACCATTTGATGAGTATGAAAATGTCATTTATCTATTCACCCTCTGCTGCTTTCCTGGCATCTAGTACAATGGAGCACAAATGGTAGGAGCAGCCTAAGGACGGCGTGTTCCTGCAGCTATTTCTGACAACTGCATCCACATTAGTTTGCACGCTTCAGGGCTAATTCAGTCTGATACTAAAACAATCAAATTCATGAGTCAAAAACCAACAGAGATGAAAAGATTGGCATGCAGCCTTCCTGGATCTGCATCTAACCATCTCAGCTGACTTTTTGATGAAGAGCAGCAGGTTCTCCTGGCAGAGCAGAAGCAGCTTCTGACTTACTTGCTAACTGACCTGGCGTGATGAAGGTCTTGGGTTATCCATTAGATTAGATTGAGAAAGAAGAGGAACGGGAAGAAGATGAAGCTGGATGAACTCAAAACAGTAAAAGAAGGTAGCGTAAGGACATCCGGGAGTATCTTCAACCCACATTTTTATTTAAACAAATTCTTGCAGCTTCAGAAATAACTCGGCAGGTAATGTTTATGTGCACGTAACATGGCTTTATAATAAAACACGATCAAGCCCCGCAAACGGCCAACGTCGCATGGACACGTAGATCGTGTCTATATTGAGTCCGTTGGTCCAGACCATGTCTGTAGGACGTCCAGACTAGGTCTTTGCACAGTAGGAGGTAACAATAGCATAGATGCACAGTGGAGATTCAGCCAAAGCTACCTAAAAGATGTTACAGGGGACGCATTGTAAAAAACTCTTCTTTTGCATTCTTTTGTGCCGCCATCTCTATCGCCTCTATTAACACTAAACGTGAATCAAAAATCACCCGTCCATTTTCTCAGTGTTAGTCCCCATTTGCGATGTCACAAACGGGGATATGAAGAGAACCACCACTCACGTACAAGAAAGAGCTGCTGCTGGAGGAGCAGAGGCTCTACTCTGAGCCCCTCCTTTATATCGGAGCTTCTCAGCTTGTAGCAGCCTGTGCAACTTATTTTCTTAAAGTGACAGAGGCCTGAAAATAGCTCATTCTGAAAGGTACTAAGAAGTAAAGAACAAAACTGCTGAAATTGCTTAATGTTAGACAGAGCGACCACAGAACTATTATAACTTAACGAGCAAGTCACCCCCAAATCAACTTTTTTTTATGATAAACGAATATAAATGAGTGTCTAATTGTGCTGTAGACACATGTATTCAATATTTTGGCACTTTAGTGCATCTTAGTTAAAATTTAAATATTTAAACCTTCCGGTACTGGAGCCAATGGTACAGCGTCACAGCACAACAGACTAGTCCTTGGATAGTCTCCAGGTAAAAACCGACAGGTGTTTCACAGCGTCAAAAAGAGGACCCTCCTTGGGTCAGCGAGTTCAGCTTTTATTCTGAAGGACCCGTTGCTTGGTTGGTAACAACGGAATTTTCCCAGCTTGAATGGTTCTCAGCTTAGAAAGAAAAGTATATGCTTTGAACTTCATGGGATCTTGAGAAGAGATCTTGAATACTGACTTAAGATGGCGTTGGAACTGTTTTATTAATCTGGATGTTTTTGATTCTGGACGAATCAAAGCTGACAGATTTAATAAACACCACAGAGACTCTGCCACGCTTCAGACTTGAAGGTTCTGATTGGATCAGCAACAGCAATGTGTCATGGGATTATTTACCTTAGTGTATCAGCGTGTCTAGTGACTAGAATAAGTCATATTACTTATTAAAACATATTAATCTTAATATTGTGATTTCACAAATCGGTCACATAGTATTATCAAAACAGTTGTTTTGATTAGCTTTATTGAAAATAGAATTCTTTGATTTTGATAAAAGAAATGAGTCTTCATCTTCCGTCTTCATTGCTGGAAAGTAAACAGTTTAGAAGCGAATGCATGACCTTGAGGCTGTTTCATGAACTCTGGCGCTGTGTCAAAGGGAACTGTGGTTGGAGGATAAATAACCTTGAGGAATAGCTCCTTCATCACATTACATGCCTAAAACTGTCAGTGTTGTGCCATCTTCAGGTAAAAACTCTGCACTACTTTTGAATTAAAATCTGCCACCGCTATTGGCTAAGAGGTATGCAATGATGTAAACTGGTACATTATGATGTCACAATGCTGTTGTGAGCCTGTGTGTGTGTGTATTTGTTACCGGCTCCGCCCTCTCGGTCTGCCAGGCAACAGCATTTGTTGCATTTTTCAAACAGGAAGTGAGAGTTGAATAAGACTCTGGTGGGGGGTGACTTGCTCTTTAAGAAATAAGTGTTAAAATATTTGTAAACACTTATCCAAACATTATTACATTCACAGTATTTCAACAAATATTAATACTATATTAGCAAATACTGGCACTCAAGCTCACACGTTAAATGCCTATTTGCTAATTATTTGTGCATTTTCTCTATAAACAATCTGCCAAATATTGATTTTATTTATCAAATATATTCAAAATGACTGCAGCTAAACCTGTTAGTGTTGTGAAAAGTGTAGTAAATTTGTTCCTCTGTGAAGCGACAATTCTGAGGCCTTGTGGAAAAATAATTAGGAAACAAGCTGTGGAGAGGAAAAAAAAGAAGAACAAAGACTGAAATAACAATTTTCTACAAGAGCTAAATGACCCTGAGGTCTGAATGTACTGAGCTGGTTGTATCGTGTTCTCAGAGAAAAAACAAGCTCATGTCTGATTCGAGATATTCTGTATGGTTTGATGCCTTCCTCACATTGCTGCGTGAGTCCACTCGGTTTTTTTGAACGTGGTTTAATGAGAAGGAGAAGCCTTCGTCTGACTCTACAGCTCGTGAAATAGGACAGCAGAGGGATATGAAAGGCTTTTTCCTCCTGTCTGTGCCGACATGCGCTGTATGAGCCCTCTGTATGCGTGTGTGTGCGTGTGCTCATCCTATTACTAGCTACAATGTTTTGTATGAGTCAGGGAGGCGTTTGGACATTGGGACTCAGCTGCATTCACAAATACCCGTTAGGTCCTGCCGGGCTATGAGGATCACGGTGATCTGAAGCCATTTGGATGCTTTTTGTAAGCTTTAGACTTTTAGTTCAGGTAAGCACACATTTGTGTGGTTTCTACCTGCTTTTTGTCTTTACTGTGTCTGTAGCTCATTTAAAGGCTAGCAGTTAGCTTTTTCACTTTGCCGATCATCAATAAGAGGTGCAATAAAGCCTAGTCCACACGTAGCCGGGTTTTTAAAAAAAAACAAATATCCGCCCCTCCAAAAACTTGCATCCACACCACCTCGTTTAAAAAAAAACTCTGTCCACACATACCCGGATAAATACGTTGTTAAGGACATGCCAGACCTGTAGGCGGCAGTACTTCCCCCGTTCTTAACCTCGTCCTTCATCTGTGGTCTTCCGCAAGGAGCAGTAATTCCGCTTGCAAAAGCAAACAAGCAAAAAGCGCTTGGACAATTGATAAAGCGAGCGCAGCTCTGAGGGCATCCATGCTGTCGGCTAGTGTAAACACATGTCGCACACGTGATGTCAGCATTTTTTTGTCGCGGAAAGTGACGTTGCGGACCTTAAAACTCCGGTTTTGTCTGTCCACACGCAGACACCCAAAACGGAGAAAACACACATCTTCACTTTGGCCGGAGTTTTTAAAAAGATCCGTTTTCGTGTGGATGACAGGCCAAAACGTAGAAAAATATCTACGTTTTGGCAGATCCCCGGCTACGTGTGGACAGGGTGTAAGAAGTGTAAGAGTTTTGCACCTTTGTTGGCATGGTGGTGGAGCCTGGAAGTAAAAAAAAAAAAAAAAGAATAAAGTCTTTGGAGATGAATCAACAAAAGCAGGATGGTAAATGGCCTGAATTTGATTTAGCGCCTTCTAGAGTCCTGGAACCCCCCAAGGCGCTTTACAACACAATCAGTCATTCACCCATTCACACACACATTCACACCCTGGTGGGGATGAGCTACAATGTAGCTACAGCTGCCCTGGAGTGCACTGACAGAGGCGAGGCTGCCAAGCACTGGCGCCACCGGTCCCTCCGACCACCACCAGCACCAGGGGTCTTAAGCGTCTTGCATACTTACTGAACCGGGAGTCAGGAAGGAGTTTCTTAAGATGTCTGTTGTGATTTAAAATAAGCATCAATTAGGACGTTTGCATGAAGTGTTGGGGTTTTAATCGCCTGCTTCAAAAACCTGCTGCAGCATCTGTTAATAAACCCATCAGCTCAAGGATTTCAGCCTCTGTGGTCATGAAGAAATAAATTCATGGAAGAGAGAGAGAGAGGTGACAGAACGGGTACAGATGAGACCTGATACCAAACAGCAGCAAATAAGCAGGTTTCAAGGAGTTTCAGTGACAGCAGGTGGGATCTCTCTCTCTCTCTCTCTCTCTCTCTCTCTCTCTCTCTCTCTCTCTCTCTCTCTCTCACACACACACACACACACACACACACACACACACACACACACACACACACACACGCACACAAACCCATCACAGTTTATGTCATCCTTAAGAAAAAAGAGGAAGTCCAGGCTCTGAATCAGTTAGTCTCAAATATGGACCAAAAGCGCCCCCTGGTGTTGATAACTGAGACCAACATGTTTATGATAATGGTTGAAATCCAAATCTACACAAAACCTTTCAGGTTTTTAACAAAATCTTTCTCAAATGTCTGCTTAAGCTGATTTTAAAATCTCAGAAATAAAATGATCTAATTAGACTTCATTTTAAAGCTTTTAAAGAAATAAATGACAAGTATGTGCAGCGTGACATCATCACCTAAGAGCTACATAAAATAATATTATAACTTTACCAGACACATGAATCTGAATTGTTCCTGTTCTTGACTGTTTTTATGCTAAGGTTTGTATAAAATAGAGTTTTAATTCTCATTTAAGGTTAACTGGTTTGCACTAGAGGCCGACCAATATATTACTTTTTTTCTATATCGGCCGAAATTATTTTTTAAAAGCAGATTTAAAAAAATAATAAAACAAAATTTTAAAATCAGGTACCTGTGTGGCCAACTGCCGCTACTACTAGACTGAAGAAAGGACCTGAAGGACCCAACACACTTTTCTTTAATGTTTTGAGTTGGTTTGATATTTGAAGTTTATTTACTTATTTGATTTATATTGCACCCAGTGAGTGTTCCGTTGTCTTTCACAATCAATGTGCTGCTAAAAGTATGTATATATCGACCTTAATAATTGGATTTAGGTATCGGCATCAGCCTTAAGAAAACAATATCGGTCTGCCTCTAATTTGCACAGAATACATTTTCTCAATTTATGAGAATAAAGTGAGATAAGAAGTCTAAAATGAGCTAACTGAAACTAGACCAGTCATTTATGTTCATTGGAGGTTTTTAATTCATAAAAATAAAAACAGGTCACACACACTAATATTTGGTTGGACCACCTTTGATTACGACACACGTTCTCTGTGACATTGTTCTATGCCTATGTATGTATGTCTGATCTCAGAATTGTGTGTACTGAAACGCTAATTTCCCTCTGGGATTAATAAAGTATCTTTGAATTTGAATTGATACGCTTCTGCAACGTCACCAGATTTATTTCCATCCACTGTTGCATTACATAATATTTCACCAAGATCTTGCACTGATGATGGTAGAGTCTGACCGCCGCACAAAGCCTTCTCCAGCACATCCCAAAGATTCTCAATGGGGTTAAGGTCTGGACTGAAAATGATGTCTCATGCTCCCTGAACCACTCTTTCACTGTTGGAGCCCAATGAATCCTGGCATTGTCAGCTTGGAGTATGGCTGTTCCATCAGGGAAGATGGAATAACCTGGTCATTCAGTATATTCAGGAAGTCAGCTGACCTCATTCTTGGAGCACATCCTGTTGCTGAACCTAGACCTGACCACCTGCAGCAATCCCAGATCATAGCACTGCCCCCACTGGTGTGTACAGTAGGCGCAAGGCATGATGGGTGCATCCCTTCATCTGCCTCTCTTCTTACCCTGATGCACCATCACTCTGGAACAGGGTCCATCTGGACTCATCAGACCACATGACCTTCTTCCATTGCTCCAATGAGTCCAATCTTTAAGCTCCCTAGAAAATTAAAGCCTTTGTTTCTGGGTTCCCCTCACTGATAAGTGGTTTTCTTACAGCTACACAGCTGTTCAGTCCCAATCCCCTGAGTTCCTTTCACATTGTGAATGTGGAAAGGCTCTTACTATCACTTAAACATTGCCCTGAGTTCTACTGTTTTTCTTTGATCTGATTTCACCAAACATTTATTTTTTTTCCCAGCCATATATCTTCCTCGAAGACAATGGGTCTCCATCATCCTTCCAGTGTTCAATGAGCATTGGACAGTTCTTAACCCAGTTTGAGTCATTTCTGCTATCTCCTTAGATGCTTTCGCTGCTTGATGCCGATGATCTGGCCATTCTCAAACAGACTGACATCTTTCCCAAAACCACCAGATGTGTCTTTCCACGCGGTTGTTTAAGAAAAGAAAAGCAACTCTCTGCTCCAGTTGGGGTTAAATAACTTGTTGCCAGCTGAAAGATAATCACCCATGCAGTAACTATCCAATAGGAGGCTCCTACCTATTTGCTTAGCTAAATCCAGGTGGTGATTTTTTTTTTGGCCAGGCAGGGTATTTGATAAAAAATGTGATATTGTCTCACCTAAAACTCATCTAAGCTCCAAAATATGTTGAAACAAAGACGATTTGGGTATTTTTGCAGCTGCAAACATTTTGCTTTCACGGCCAAGGGTTATTTGCATGTAAATGAATTCACTTTGACAGTTTTTTGTATTTCTGATTAGAAAAGAATCATATGAAAGATAAGCAGCAATTACAAGACATTAAGACGACTGAGTAACAGGTGTATTGTCATTCTAGTGAAACCGTAAAATAACAGATTGAACTGAAACTATGAGCTCCCAGCAGGTCATGAGTTTACTGTGAGGTTGTGAAGCACTTTGAATAAAAAGCCTGTGTCATCAGTATTACTGAGACGTGCGCTTTAACGGTTTTGTGTTTTCAGCAGATTCCCTTAAACACAAAACTCATCCTCTGTGATTGGTTGTGGCCGGACGCGCTCTTTTGTTCCAGCGAGACGTTTGTTCGCCGTTTCCTGCACACAACAAAACTTTCCTGCCATCCCGGGCATTATCGGGGCTCCGCAGTGCTTTGGCAACTCAGAACATTGGATTCTCTGACATTTAGTGAGGAAAAAAAACAAGATAAAGGTATGGGATTCATACTACAAGCGTTTTTCTGGCTTTTTCGAGAAAAAAAATTGATATTTTAAAAAACTTGATTATTTTGTGTTTTTAATTGTAGCTTTTCTGCTAAAACAAGAGTGTAAAAGGTCTTTTCAGTTTAAAATAATCAAACAGTACACCATTATTTTGGCGATGCACGATTAAATCAAGCTGGAAGAATATTTTAGGAATTAGTTTACACCTAGTGATTATTTCTTCCTCTTATAGGTGTGACGGGACTCTGACCTGCTCTTGTTTTAATTTGACTTTGTGTCACTTAACTTTGGCAGGATGTACAGCTTCATGGGAGGTGGGCTGTTCTGTGCTGGAGTCGGGAACATACTCCTCATCATCTCCACGGCAACGGACTACTGGATGCAGTATCGTCACTCCAGCAGTTACATGCACCAGGGCCTGTGGCGGTACTGCGTGCCGGGGAAATGCATGACACACACAGATAGCATCGGTATGACAGGCTGAGCTTTTAGTTTGACAGCTGGCCCGTGACCATGAATATCTCAAGACTTACTTCCTACTCTTGTTTTTTCTCTGTTAATAATTGAGCACCATTTATTTGAGCCAGTCATAACTCTCTCCCTCCTCTCTCAGCCTACTGGGACGCCACTCGGGCCTTCATGATCCTCTCCCTGCTGGCTTGTTTCATCGGCATAGTGATCGGGATCATGGCCTTCATCCACTACTCCTCCTTTGATGGATTTGACAAGACTTTTGCAGCTGGCATCCTCTTCTTCATCTCCTGTAAGCTAGTCGCTGATAGGAACAGGCAGGATTTTTGACCGTCAAGAAAACTGACTTTTTCATTTTCGAGCAGGCTTCTTTGTGCTGTTGGCGATGGCCGTCTACACAGGCGTGACAGTCAACTATTACGGGAAACGCTATGGCAGCTGGCGGTTCTCCTGGTCATACATAATGGGCTGGGTGGCGGTGGTGCTGACATTCTTCTCAGGTTTGTATACGAAGGTTAGACCGGTGCTCGGGTTACATACAACTCGTCTCTAAACAATCGCACTCCTTCTCTTCCAAGGTATCTTCTTCATGTGTGCCTACCGGATGCATGAATGCCCTAGAAACTCCAACACCCGCTGACCTGCCCAAGCTGGTCCCAAAGGAGAAACCAATGTTCGTATCAATTTTCAAACCACTTCCCAGAAAAAAAACATTTATGAATAAGCAAAATAAATGTGGAAAAAAATATCTGGTTTCTGTGTTCTTTGAATTAAAAAAAACTTAACAGTAGATTTACTTCTGGTAAATGTCTAATGGTTTTAGATCAAGTTCCCAACTTAAGAGTACGGCATCAGTTAACATCCCCAAGGTCAAGTCCAGTAATTACTGTTCCAGTTCAAAAGGCACATAATGTCAGTAAATTGTTGGTGCTGAAAGCAGAAATGCAGTCTTTTCTCACAGGGCACTGTCTAGAGGCAAAAATATGTATTACACCTTAAGCCCCTCTTCCTACTTCCATGATTCCAGCTGAAAGCAATGCCTTTTGTTTGTGAACGTGCAACTCTAGCTGGCCAGCTGAGCCAAACACATTCTTTAACAAAAATTATTCTCATGTTATCCTGTTTATTTTTTTACTTGTCCATAAGAAAAGACACCAACTCTGTTTCTGTCAAAGACCCAATCCCAATACTTGCACTGTGCCCTATGGTCTTCTATGAAGTGCACTTGGAGGAAGTGTGCAGTAAGGCTTCGAGTGCGTGGTGCATATCCCGGGATGCTGGTTGCTGCCGAAGCCGAGAGGCCCAGACTTCCCTCTCCCCAGCTACTTGGGCTAGTTCCTTCGGGGGAATCCCAAGGCATTCCCTGGCCAGCTGAGAAACAGTCCCTCCAGCGTGTCCTGGGTCTTCCCCAGTTGGACGTGCCCAGAAAACCTCACCAGACAGATGTCCAGGAGGCAATCTGACCAGATGCCCGAGCCACCTCAACTGGCTCCTCTCAACATGGAGGAACAGCGAGTCTACTCCAAGCCCCTCCCAGATGACCAAGCTTCTCACCCTATTTCAGACACCCTGTGGAAAAAAAAACATTTTGGCTGCCTGTATCCGCAATCTCGTTCTTTCGGTCGCTACCCAAAGCTCGTGACCATAGGTGAGGGTAGGAACATAGATCGACTGGTAAATCGAGAGCTTTGCCTTCCGACTCAGCTCTCTTCACCACGACAGACTACAATGCCCGCATCACTACAGATGTAGCACCAATCCGCCTATCTCACGCTCCAGCTTTCTCTCACTCATGAACAAGACCCAGTGATACTTTAACTCCTCTATTTGGGGCAGGACCTCATCCCTGACCTGGAGAAGACACTCGACTCTTTTCCGATTCAACACCATGGTCTCGAATTTAGAGGAGCTGATTCTCATCCTGGCCGCTTCAACCAATTATCTGAAATAGATTTACATTCATCGCGGCTTTGTCTAAAACATTCAGAGCATGAATTAATTACTATTTTACCTTCGTTTGAAAATACTTATGAGAACTGGGACACCCTGCTATGCCCTCGCACCACTGGCTGGAATCATGTAACTGAAGGGTGCAAGTACGGCAGTGTGAGTATTGGGATTAGGTTTAGGTCCTAATTCAACCCAAACAAGCGGAAGTGTCCCAGACAGTAACACTATAAACAAAGAAATATAACTAGTAGGAACATTTCGCCTTCTGTGGGCCACACACACAGCTGATGTTATCTTTGTGATGTACTCCGTAACAATTAAAATGTTAAAATATCCTCTTTTATAGATTTCTAAAATTATACATGGTTACCACAAGGGGGAAACTCCAGATTTTGGCTTTTAAAGTTCAATTTCTTTTAAAGAAATAAACAACAAATGAGTCTGAAGGCACATACTTATTCATTTAATTGTTTTTTGCAATAAACTGTGCAAATATAAATTTTACTCAAAACACTTTGTGAACATACTTTAAACAATCAGTGTCAAGAAAAGCTTCTCACAGAACAAGAGTGGCACACCAGTCTATAAAGAACTGGAGTTCTTAACAGTTTAGAACAAGCTTTGGCAAAACCATTCCACCCAAACATCAATAACATTGATTCACAGACATCTACTAATCCACCTCCTCGATGGTGGGCCCTCCTGCTCCTGCAGCACCAGCAGCTCCAGGGAAACCTCCAGGCATCCCCCTTGGCATTTCTCCTGCACCCTGGTACAGCTTGGTCACGATGGGGTTGCACACCTTCTCCAGCTCCTTTTGCTGATGCTCAAATTCATCTTTCTCTGCAGACTGAGGTAAAAAAAATAAGCATTAGGAAAATAAATGTTCACCCTGACATTCATTTAAAAGTTGCTAAACAACTCAAACATACCTGATTTCTGTCCAGCCAGCTGATTACCTCATTACACTTCTCCAGGACCTTCTGCTTGTCCTCATTACTAATCTTGTCCTTCAGCTTGTCGTCCTCCACTGTGGACTTCATATTGAAGGCGTAGGACTCCAGATTATTCTTGGCTGACACCTTCTCTCTCTGCACATCATCCTCAGCCTTATACCTCTCTGCTTCCTGGACCATTTGCTCAATGTCCTCCTTGCTCAGGCGTCCTGAGTAGCAAAGATAATTATGGTTACAGTGAAAATAGGATTGAAGCGCATCAGATTCGATCTTGTGGTTAATGTTTAGTTTACCTTTGTCGTTGGTGATTGTGATTTTGTTCTCTTTTCCAGTGCTCTTGTCAACTGCAGACACATTCATGATGCCGTTAGCGTCGATGTCAAAGGTCACTTCAATCTGAGGTACTCCTCGAGGAGCTGGTGGGATTCCTGTCAGATCAAATTTCCCCAAGAGGTTGTTGTCTTTGGTCATGGCTCTTTCGCCCTCAAACACCTACAAGTGAAATAAAGAAGGCCAGTCCATCTAATACTGCAGCTTACTTCACACAACCTAAGGGGAAATGGACTGGAGTCAGTCCTACCTGAATGAGCACACCAGGCTGGTTGTCAGAATAGGTGGTGAAGGTCTGGGTTTGTTTTGTGGGGATGGTGGTGTTTCTCTTGATGAGGACCGTCATTACTCCACCAGCAGTCTCAATACCCAAGGACAAGGGGGCCACATCCAGCAGCAGCAGGTCCTGAACGTTCTCAGATTTATCACCACACAAGATGGCAGCCTGGACCGCTGCAGACGGATGAAAATGAGGTTTAAACTCAGTGACATTTTGGTACTTTTGGAGAAACCTGGTAAGACATACCTGCGCCGTATGCCACGGCCTCATCAGGGTTAATGCTCTTGTTGAGCTCCTTCCCATTGAAGAAGTCCTGCAGCAGCTTCTGGATCTTAGGGATGCGGGTAGAACCTCCCACTAAAACAATGTCGTGGATCTGAGCCTTGTCCATTTTTGCGTCACGGAGAGCCTTTTCCACGGGTTCAAGAGTTCCTCTAAACAGGTCAGCGTTAAGCTCCTCAAACCGCGCCCTAGTGATGGAGGTGTAGAAGTCGATGCCCTCGTATAGGGAATCGATTTCAAGGCTGGCCTGGGTGCTCGAGGATAGGGTGCGCTTGGCTCGCTCACACGCTGTGCGCAGACGCCGCACTGCCCTCTTGTTGTCGCTGATGTCTTTCTTGTACTTGCGTTTGAACTCCGAGATGAAGTGGTTGACCATGCGATTGTCAAAGTCTTCACCACCCAGGTGTGTGTCGCCAGCTGTGGCCTTCACCTCAAAGATGCCATCCTCAATAGTCAAGATGGAGACGTCAAAGGTGCCGCCACCAAGGTCAAAGATGAGAACGTTTCTCTCAGAGCCAACCTAAAAATGAGAAATTTAGATTTTTTTTCCCCATTTAAGCACAACTGAATTCATGTTCCGATTTGTAATCAAGCAAGGGCAGAATGCCTTCTCCAGGTCAGCGATGAGGTCCTGCCTCAACTGGAGCATTTAAGTTTCTTGGGGTCTTGTTTATGAGTGAGGGAAAGATGGGGCGTGAGGTCGATAAGTGGATTGGTGCTGCATCTTCAGTGATGCGGGCGTTGTACCGCTTTGTCATGACTAAGAGAGAGTTGAGCCGGAAGGCAAAATTCTTAATTTACCGGTCGATCTACGTTCCTACCCTCACCTATGATCACGGGCTTTCAGTCGTGACTGAAAGAACAAGATCATGGATACAAGCAGCCAAAATCTGTTTTTTTCCCCCCAGGGCGTCTGGGCTCTCCCTTAGAGATGGGGTGAGAAGCTCAGTCATCCGGGAAGAGCCCGGAGTAGATCTACTGCTCCTCCATCACATCGAGAGGAGCCAGGTGTGGTGGTGTGCCACAGCTACAAATCCCCCCCCCCCACGGGAAAAGCGAAATATTCCGCACACAACTATTAGTTCATTCCCTGCTCTCACGGCAGCACGATGGTCTGCAAAGGTACACTCCTGGCTGGAGAAATTTCTAGGGGAAACACTGTGATGCCTCCCTGGTGAGGTTTCTCGGCACGTCCAAATGGGAGGAGACCCAAAGGAAGACCCAGGACACGGTGTAGGGACTATGTTTCTCTGCTGGCCATAGAATGCCCTGGAATTCCCTTGGGGGAGCTGGCCCAAGTGACAGCAGAGGGAAGTCTGGGCCTTTCTGCTTAGGCTACTGCCCCCGCATCCCAACCCCAGATAAGCAAATGAAAATGGACGGATGAATTAATGTTGAGAAACTTCAACTTGTAATTTCCTCTCGAGAAAAAAAAAAAATCTTACATTTTCAGTTTAAAACTTTGAACTAAAACAATAAAAGAAAAAAAAGCAACACGATACAATTTGTGAAAGCAACTCTTTGAACACTGCTGAATGCGGGCGGTTTAATTACTTTACCTTTTTGTCCAGGCCGTAAGCAATAGCAGCCGCAGTGGGCTCGTTGATGATACGTAGCACATTCAGGCCAGATATAGTTCCCGCATCTTTGGTAGCTTGGCGCTGGGAGTCGTTGAAGTAGGCAGGCACTGTCACAACAGCATTTGTGATAGTCTGGAAAAATAGTTGCATCATATAGAAACATTTTAAATTTCATTACAATGTTGTTCAGTGGACTCTTAAGCTTCCTTTTCACCATATGTGAAAGCGTCACAAAAAAGCTAAACGTACTTCGCAGCAATTAGCCGCCGTGATAATGGACGAGTTCCTTTCCATCTGCGGCAAACTGTAACGTTTTGGACGTATAAAAGTCACGTGCACATAATTGTATGTCATTTCCTGTGAAACCCTTGTAGCTGATGTAAACAGAGCAGAAAATAAACCAGATCTTAGGTGTGTTCTTGCTGTGTCGTGGTTCTAATTCCATGCTGTTGTTCTTTTTAAAACGCAGAAACAGTTTTGTTTACCTGTTTTGACGCTACGTTTCGCCGGCGGCTGCGCCGGCGAAACGTAGCGTCAAAACAGGTAAACAAAACTGTTTCTGCGTTTTAAAAAGAACGACAGCATAAATAAACCAGACCTTTTAGGATACAGGCAGCTGTCTTTCTCTTTGCTTGTTATTGTGTGGACTTCTGAAATCACATGTGGTGTTGCAATTCTCCTGTGATTTTGTGGGACCAGTGGCTTGGAACGCCTTTGATCCCAGTTGGAAGGGAGCTCTCAGGTAAAATGTCACTATTACATTACACAGCACTCTGTGTCCAATGGAAAGGAGGATCTAGACTCAGTATAAAGTTAAGAACATTAGAAACTTGTTAAAGAACCCAAATACCTGACCAAGGTAGGCCTCTGCAATCTCCTTCATCTTTATGAGCACCATGGAGGAGATCTCCTCAGGGTAGAAGGTCTTCGATTCACCCTTGTACTCCACCTTCACTTTAGGTTTTGAATTATCATTAATGACCGTGAAGGGCCAGTGCTTCATGTCAGACTGGACAACGGGATCATCAAAGCGACGTCCAATGAGACGCTTTGCATCTGAGAAAACAGGTGAAATTAATAAAAAAGGGTAAAATATGAGATCACAAATTGTACTTCACCCAAGACAGAAATCTTACCAAAGACGGTGTTATTCGGGTTCAGAGCCACCTGGTTCTTGGCGGCATCACCAATCAGCCTCTCTGTGTCGGTGAAGGCAACATAACTGGGTGTGGTCCTGTTTCCCTGGTCATTGGCAATGATTTCTACTTTGCCGTGCTGAAACACTCCTATGCAGGAGTAGGTCGTGCCCAGGTCAATGCCAACTGCTGGACCCTTGGACATGTTTCCTGATGAGGAAGATGAATCATCTATCAGACATCCTGTACATAAGAGTTATTTAATCTTGTGGGCAGCTGCTAGTCAACACATCTAAAGGTTATCATCAGTCATGAACAGACTGAGCGGAGAACCTAAATCCACTGCAGCTGTTATAAGGCTATTTACCTCTGACAGCTTAACAGCAGCCCTCATTGTAATGACAGATATCCTGATGGCATGAGTTTGTTTCAGAAACAAAGACTACTGCAGCTTGGTAACACATAATTACAAAAAGCATAACATTTAATCATCCAACACTAATGAAAAGCCATTGTTTTCACCATCTATTTGCATTATCTGTCAAGTTAAACATTTTTAAAACTTTACATGACATGTGACCAGACATTACCAGGTTTTTTTCCTAGGGGGCAAACTCCATCTGTCATAAGTGAAGCCAACATGGAAGTGACTAAATTGCAGTTCCTCTCTCATCCACAAGGGGTTGGCTCCAGAAAGGAGCAAGTTCCCATTGACTCCCATGTTAAAAACGCAAACTTTACGCAGAAATAGGCATGATTAGAGGCTCATTTCAAAAAACCATTTCGGGTTCAAAACATCATTTTCCGTCATGACAACTCAAAAGGGAGTGCTTCTTTTTGTAACTCATCTGTTTTGATGTAATTAAAGCTTGAAATTGTGAATAATTCGGGGCACGTTCATTTGATTGACAGGTGGCAGATGAGCCGTAAGTGCTAGCGCTAGCAGCTTGCCCCCTTCTTGCTCCAGGTAGGGCGCCTCAGCATCAGCCTCGTCATTGCGTTAAAAGTGTGACAGCCTAGAAGGCAGAGGGCAGCAGTCGCTCAACCACTGTTTTCTGGGTAAAAGTGGCCGCCAACCTCCATTTGCTTCAGTTAGATTGTAGCTACATTGTCTCAGAGTTTGTTGCATGTCAATCATTTCTCCCCACCATCACAACCCCACTCTCAGCTCCATTTTGTATTTTGCAGGAGTGACGAGACACGTGATCGACCAAGATGACAATGGTGGGAGCCATCCACCGGGCTTCAAATAAGCCCTTCAGAAACCTAAGAGTGATGGAGTGGAGGGTTTGTCTGTTTTTTTATATGTCATTGGTTTTCCCAGACAGTTCTGTAAGCAGCAGCTTCCTGGATCAGTCATCATGTTTACTGTTGCTACAACAGCGAGAGTGCCAATGAACTAATAGAAGTCTGATTTTAAGCCTCCTGAGTGACTGTTGCTGAGAACATAAGCATTATTTCTGGTGACTGAGGTCAAAGATTATATACAAAACATGACGTTATGTAGGGTTTGAGACTGTTGTGACAATAGTTATAACTTTCATAATGATGAGCAGATCCAGGTCAATATATAATGCTAGAATAAAAAGGGGCTAAATAGATTATATTTTCTCAAGGGTAAAAAAAACATCAATAGTAAGGTCATTTCTACACATTTCTGTACAGTTGAAACTATGTGAGTCGACGTCTGGTGGTTCAAAGGAAGAATGCAAGTTTTATGGGCTCGACACACGGGAGGCGACATCGCCTCTCCTCCATTTTCAATGAGACATGCGCGACAAAAGCGATAATCGCGGGTCTCCCTCCTAGTAAGCGTAACGCGAAAAACATGCGTGTGAAATTTTGTGCTCGTGCACGTGTCGTGCACAGGCAACCCAGCGACGCGATCCCGAAAAGTTGAAACATTTTCAACTTTTCATCGCTGTCACTCGGACGAGGACCAATCAACGGAGGTTTCATTCACTGACCAATGAGCGGACAGGATGCTCCGTACACCTCCAATCAAACATGGAGAAGTTATTATGTTTTATATAGTAAAATCAGAAGTAAGATTTCACATAACTCTAGCAGCACCTTGTGAAACATCATGAAGACTTTATTCTACAGGTCATTGTTCAGCCTTCTGACGCTCACGTGTCTGACTGCTGACGCTCCGTGTGTTTTTATTTCTGCAGTGAGACAAACTCACCTCACACCATCCAGAGTTTGTTCTTTAAGCTTCTAATAAATCCACCGTGTTGACTTAACAAGTTTCATCTACACTGCAGGAGTTAACAGAGTCAAAGTTTGGCAGATGCATTGTTTATATCTGGCCACTGCGGGCTGGGTGGGGGGGGGGGACTCGGTGCTGCAGACAGTCAGCTGGTGTGATCAGCTCTGAAAAGCATTGATCACAATTTGCAAATCACGTTTATTTTTCACGAAGCCGCGCCGCGGATTCCTCTTCCGTCGGCACAATAAGAATCGAAATAAAAAAACATTGAGCAATTCCAGGAAAAATGAACAGTTGGAACTGGTTCGCTCTTCTCGATGCCCAACCCTTTTTAGGATTATTTTTCTCCATTCTTCACTTACTTTTTGTGGTTTATTTGCTTGTTAGTGATTTTTGCTTCTACATCTTTCAACACATTCAGCTCATTTGGACAGTTTTGCTTCCTTTCAGCTTCAGTTCAGCTATTAAGCTGATTCAGCTAACAGTTTAAGCTATCCAGCATTCAAACAGCATTTCTGCAAGAAATGCAATTTATCTAGTTTACCTAGGAGCTATTGAAAAAAAATCCTTTAATTTTGGAATAAAATCCTAATAAAAAAGATCAGATTGTGTGAAATGTGTTAAAACTCTTGTAAATGTAGTTTAGTAACACAAGTCAGAAGTCATTTAGCAAATTATTCTGGAAGCTTCACATTTTTTGTACTCGTTTACAAAGGACTACAAATTTGCTGATAGTCCCTAAGCGAACCACCGTTCCCATTAGCGAGTCCTCGGAACTTAGGTTACCGCTGTCTGTTCCGCGGTGCACGGCATGAAGACTTGTCGCTGACCGTGCAAACCAATATCTGTCGAATATCCAACGTCCAACTTCGAGCAAACTTCACCGCGGTACACAGCCGTTATTTAAATGTGAAAAATAAACGGCAACAGAAAAAGTTCCATAAATCTCCCTGGCTTTAGAAACTTTGCCAAGCCATCCCTGCTCATACTTTCGTACGCAGAACCGTCCAAAATGATAAATCATTTGCAGCTAGCTTAAATTTGTACATAATTTTGTGCTAAACTCATCTGATATGAAAACTGAAGGTTAGGAAAATGCTGGTTTTTAAAGTTTTAAATAACTAACGGAACATGTCTGAGTTTATTTAAACATACATTTTAACCATTAGTGGTATTTGGTCTAACTTTTAACCGTTAACTGTCTCTTTTTAACTTCCCGCCGAAGAAAAGGCAGCTGCTCACCTCCGTTTCAAGGAAAATTTGCGTCGTCTCGGTTTACAGCGGCTGTAAATAATACTCTTGGCTCGTAGCCCCGTTCCGTAATTCTTTTTGTTTATTTCTCCGGTCCTCCAGTACTGCTCCTCTCGGTCTGTGTGTGTGTTTACTGCCGCGGCCGCGCCTCCTAAAAAACGTTCCCTCCCAGAACTCTCCAGAACGCGGGAGGAGCGATGGCGGACAATCCTCAATCCCGCCTCCACAAAATGGTCCAATTAGAAAATGTTTTCAGCACGGGCAGCAGCCACCGCAATCAGGGTAAGAGACACATTCTGGGAATGTTTCTAGAAATGATCCGCAGACTAGTAGAGATCGATGGTAGAGACCAGAAAGATCCAGTAACTGAGAGCTCTGGGGCGTCGTATTTGCGGGTATAATTGTTTTACGGTTAAAATTACCAGATTAAAAAATAATAAAATTTCAAAACAGTATAGTGATTGTACACACACACACACACACACACACACACACACACACACACACACACACACACACAAAACGTTTTCATAAAAATTCTGCGCGTATTTTATAGCCATTTTGAAGTGTAAAAATTATCAATAGCGTTCATCTTATCCACTGCAGATTTGAACAACCTCTATTCAAAGAAATAGCTTTTAACATGCTTTTAGACTCCTTGTGCTCTTGTTGTGTTGCTTTTCTTGTTCCATTGTTTTTCTGTTCATATCTTATAGCAAATTTTCCGTTTTACCTTATTTTGCTGACAGTTTTGGCAGATAAACAGCAACGGAAGTGACACCATCACCATGAAGCTCCAGCGACTGTGAGAAGCTGAAACGGCAGAAAATTCATCCCACAGCCTCCTGCTGGTGTATCAGCAAGAATCAAACCCAACATCTCAAATATTATTGGAAGTTTAGGATTTAAATTTTTTATTTTTTTGTATTTTCTGCATTGAACAGAATTTGATTATTGCTCCGACATTTCAGAAATGAGACAATTGGGTTCAAACTAAACAACAAACTAAGCCAAACATTTAATTTTGTGTTATTTACTTCGTGCGCCCTTGAATTGTGGCATAAATATTTTATTCTAAGGCTTCTCAAAGATATTTAAAGCTAATATATGGACCCATTATGGATTTTATCAACTAAATTAAAGGCAAGAATTGGACATGTCCTATAGGGTTTCAGTACCTTTTAAGGTTTTGTTGGCATTTGTAGAGCATGTTTCTTCCACAGCCTGAGATGTGACAGTTGAATGAGGAAACATATATTTTTACTTTGCTAAATCTTCATAAATATTTAAAATGTTTAGCACTTACATTGTCCCAAGGGCTGTTGTGAATGAAGAGCTATTTGTGGGATGGGATGTTGGTTCTGACATGTTTTTGATAATAAAAAAAGCAAATATCTGACATCCTCTACTTATCGATGAAAACAAATCCATATGAAATAATCGTGATGCATTGACATATCGGATCAGATCAAATAGTTGACCCAATAATCGTGATCTAATCGAATTGTGAAACTAAGATTCACATCTCTACTGTATTCATAAAATAGCTGTAAACAGTACGACTTTTAATTTCAGATGGATAACCTGTGTATCAAATTATGAAAATTCTACTCGGTCAGAGATTTGCTTTTTAACCCAACATAGCCTAAGTTGGGATCACCTTACCTGTACAATACAGTACATCCGTCCGAAAAGGGCCTTTTCTGAAGAAGAGGAAGAAAAAGGAGGGCTGCGATATTTTCAAAACATACTATAATTCAGGTACTGCTCAGGTGTTGCACAAATGTTTCAGGTGTGACTCATAGCACAACGTGATCTACTTATAGTCAGTAGATCTTTGAAATTACCTTTGTGTCAATTTCAATACTTTGCAGCCAATTTGACAATATAAAGTTGCAGTAGAAAGAAAAGAAAAGAAAAAGATATAGCACATGCAAAGACAAACACCTAAATACTAAACAAAAGTATACCATAACACTACCAACATTAACATGGAAAATGCTACATTTTCAAAGAAATCCTGTAGAGTGCTAAAGCTGCCACATCACACAATTCAAACAATACTTTTAAAAATGATTCCAATGATTTGGTGTTTAATTTTGTAATGTTTTGAGCTGTGATAAAGTGCCAATGTGGTATAGACTGTAAGATGTAGGGCTGCAGGGTGAGGTAGCTGGTAGAACTTGTCTTGAAGGAAGAAGGTTGCAGGTTTTAATCTTGGTTGTAGTTTTTTTGCATGGAGTTAGCGTGTTCTCCTAAGCATAGGTGAGTTTCTCTGGGTACTGTTGCTTTCTCCCACAGACCAAAAAACAGGCGTGCTAAATTGGTTGGGGACTCAAAATTATCCCTGGGTGTGAGCGAGTGAGTGTTTATTTGTCTCCGTGTGTCTCGGTGATGAACTGGCGACCTGTCCAGGGTGCAACAGAAGTTCACACCAGGAAAAATACTCATATCTTATATTAGGGTTTGGGGTTTGACTTTTTAGTTGGAAAAATGTTACATTTCTTTACATGGTGGGGGGATAAACTTAAAACTAATACCGCAGCCAGCCACTAGGGTGTGTTTTGATTCCTTTCCATATCCAGTTTATTTATAAAACACTGATAATAAAAACCGTACCTAGTTCCGTACATTAAAATACGCATAAAAAGGAAACAATGCAGTGGCACATAAACACAATATTTACAACAAAGAAGTCTTTCATATTTTTTATCAATTTGCAGTGGTCTCTAGTGGAAATGAATGCCTTGTAAGTCATGCTCTGGGGGGAAAAAGCTCCAGCGTACCTGCTTCAGCACAGAAAATTCAACCAAAGGAGAAAGTAGCACCAGGCAACAGGATTTGGAGTCTTATCTCCTATTTCGACGTCTCCCCTCGAATTGGCTAAAAAAGACGTGACTCCACTGACTCTGTTGGCTCTGCAACGTGGATGTTTCACCTCCACAAATAACACAAACTTGAAGACGTTTTGTCGTGTGGTGGAGTTGCTAATGCTGTTAGCTTCTACCAGCCGAGACGTTCTCTCTTTCCTGGACGCTAAACCAACAACAGCCTTCCCCATTGCGAGTCAAGATGAAGGAGTCCATAAATGTTAAGTGACAATGTGACGTAAATCTGTCAGGCTTTTCAAATCCTAGAGTTTCATTGTCTGTTTTCTATCAGAAGCTAATGCAGGAGATGGGGGAAGAATACTTTTTTCATGTTCAGCCTCCATGTTAAACTCGGAGAGACCAACGATTAAAAATAAATACATAAATGGTTTGACAAACCTCTTTAACCCTCCCACTGTCCTAATGGGTGTGAGCCCGCGAGGAAAGTTGACCATTGAGCAGAGCTGATGGTTTATTCCTTGGGTCCATGTGACAGGGGTGAGGAGTGAGCACCACCTCACCCCTGTCACGTGGACCTCAAGGGATAAACCATCAGTCCTGCTCAATGGTCAACTTTCCTCGCGGGCTCACACCCATAAAGACAGTGGGAGGGTTAAATATAGAATTTTAATTATATGTAAGGAAAAAATGGATGAAAATAATAGAAAATAGATTAAAGTGAGATTTAAATACCAGATGCAAAACAGCCCTTTTTACACTAGGGGGCTGATTCTTCCATAGTCTGCGTTTGGTCCGTGGAACCATTGTCAGACCGCGCTCAACCAATCCAAGAGTTCGCAAAGGGGTGTTTGACATTAGCAGGTCAGATAGATGGCATGGGGCAAGACATTTTAGACACTTAAAAACTAATAAAATAATTTTCTTAATTCAGTATTGAACAGGGAGCCAATGAAGAGCAGTCTGTCTGGTTATTATTTTGGTTTGCTTCACAATTTAATACATTTCTGACACTTTAAAAGCAAAACTTGTAACATGGGTTTTTCCAAAGTATGATAACACAAGTACTGTGTAGTCAGGGTGGTGTCAACACATGCCGTTCCTGATTCTCAGGAATTCCTGTCCTGCAGGTTTCAGGAGGTTCCCCATCAAAGTAACCTGATTTCAGCAACTTAACAACCTTCACAGAATGTCATCAAAGTTGATCAATGAATTGAATCTGATCATTCAAATTTACTGTTTGCTAGGGAAACACATAAAACATGAAAGTCAGTGTTCTGCAAATACTAGAACTGGAACACACGGTTGGCTTAAAAAAATCTGCATGTTCTCAGTTCTACAAGAGAATCTATCGTTAATACGAACGGACAGCTTTCCTGCCTCACATCCATGTCACTGTTGCTTTGTTGTTAACCCTAATACTTGTTTTTGTTGTCGTTAAAAGTCATACTGCTCATCTGTCTGAGTTTAAGGTATGAACACCTAACACACAACATTCACTTTGGTAAATCTTTATTGTAGCAAGCACACAATGCACGAGTCTGGATGGGTGCAAACACAATCTCTGTTAAGACCTTTATGCATTTTCTATGTGATTTCAAGGTTCCATACCATGAAAAATCGACACAAACAATTTACCCTGTGATATTGTCATTCATGAGAAATACCCCCAAACCCGTTTTTGTCTGCATTCATGCATTTTTCTGCCTCAGCTTCAATTTATTCTAATTTAATTTTAGACCTGCATCCAGGAGAAAGTAGCCCAAGTGCTTCATCAGGCATTTCTTTTCCCCCTGACGCTAGTCTTACCCGTGGAACCAGCCTCCCTAGAAGTAACTCCAACTTTATCCGAGTTGCGAGTATAGAGCAGTTGATGTCATGCTGCAGTTGAGAATGTGAACTTCATGTCACAGACGACTGCTTTAAACCTCCACCAGTACCAGAGTGGATATTCAGACAAATTTCCTCTGCACTGGGGACAAAACACTGCTGTAACACTTGCCCTGCCTCCAACATGCCTCCATCTAAAAAGGCTAGGTCATCCAGAGTAATCTCTGTAGTTATGCTGCTATAGGCTTAGACTGCTGGAGGACACACTGACCACTTTTCACACTCTACTACTTTCTTCTACAATTTGCTCTTTAACTGTATTATTTCCTGCTACTTCAGCTATTAACTTTATTTTTTCTCTAAGTGTTTTTCTCCCCAGAGGAAGCTACGGTGACGTTCTGCTGAGCTGTGGTGGCCTCATGGAGGGGGCCATCGTCTAGCACACTGCTGCTAACCACTTAAACATTCTCCTTCTCCTGATAATAACTTTTTGTTTCCTTGACGTTGGATGTGCTACTACTAGTTTATCTGTTTAATTATAGATCCA